GATGAGAAGTTTAACTTTTTCAAACAGTCCAGTAGGCCAAGAATAGCCATGATACAACAATAAAAAGCTTTGCTGTGCTTTTTAAATGCAATCAGAATCAATAGCTTGGGAACAGTATTGTAAATACATAGCTTGCAACTACCATAAATCCCTTTGCTGAACTTCTATCTTAGTGGTTAATAAAAGAAAGCTACCAACTTGAACCATCTGATCATCATCTTCAAATTTTGTTCAGAAAATGATAGGTACTTATAAATAACCCAATATTATTGCTTGTTGGAACTGAGTGGAGCTACAGGGAGAGGAATTTTGCCAAAATTTGACAGTATTGCAGAAACTGATGAGCCACTTTATCTCTTCTTCTTATCTGATTGTCTTTAAGGTAGTACACCTGTACCTTGCTCAGTGAAAAATCTGAAAGATCAGCCAAATTAATCCCAGCCTTTGTATCCCAACAGGTCTACAATCTATAAAGTATATTTTGATATGAGTCATATAGATTAATGTTTTTTGCTATACTAATAATTTCATGATGATAATGAGATATTTCAAGTTTCTAAAAGAAAGTATAACTATTGATTGGCTAATATCTTGATATTTCTCATAAAGCCTTTCATTTTATTAGATGCTCAATCTGTCGAGAAAAATTAATAGGAAAAAGTGTTTTTATTGGTCACTTGAAAATATGTACCAGTATTGAGGCAGAAGTGCCCTAACAATTCCCATATAGAAATCAAGGAGTCTCATTTCATCTCTTCAATCTAGCAGAGATATCAACTAACTGGAATGAAAAGGTAGGGGCTAGCTTCAAAGTTAAATTAAAGGGTAAAATTAATTCAATAGAAGATTCAACATGCACAACAATTTGCCGTGTAGTAGAACCCCTGAATGTCTCAATTTGATGTATTTTCAATTTTGTGACCAATGTTATGATAAATTTGACTGTTTCAATTCTGATCAAGAGGCCATTTTAATTTTGAGTGATTCATTGATGGCTAGATCAAATGTCCAATATTTGTGGATGATTTTTACTTCAAGGTCATCCTCTACTTTGATAATTCAATCAACCACACTTGTGCTATGTTATTTGAGGTTCTGGTTTTTTCTTGAACCCAATTATCTAATTATGTAATATGATTGAAATTGCTCAATCAAACTGATCTAATTCAAGTGTTTATCATCATGAATAAACCTTAAACATTCTATTTCTTTCACTCTGACAAGATTTTGTGGCTTGTTTTTAAGATCAAGTGCTGATTCTCAAGTTTTGAGACTAAGGAAAAACATTTTGATCATGTATCATACAGTTACCTCCAGTTTTAGGAATATTTTATTGCAGAATTTCCTTGTACATTTTCTGCTAGAGTTAAGGTATCTTACAACATTTTTATGAAGTCATGGGAGTTCCAAAGACATCTGAATTTTTTCAAATTTGAATACAATAGCTGAACAAGCTGTCATTTCATTTTCTTGCAGAATGTTGTTCCTTTCTTCATATTGATTCATGATGAAATTTATACATAAAAATCACTGTCTGAACTGATAAAATCAAAATTTGTTTCAGAAAGTAGAATACCATCTTACATTTTCTATTTTTACTCTTGATAGTTGAAGAAAATTCAAAGCTTGAATTGTCTCAAAAAGTCAAGTAGGATGATACTGTCAGCTGATCATTTTTCCATCACATGATTTAGAATAGATCCTACAAAGAAATCAAGATCTTCTCAATCTGTGTATATCAAAATTTTAAAATTATTGATGTGAAATTGAACCACTTTATTGGCATTGCACATTCATACATGAGCAGCCTTTCTTGATCATATCATGACTATCTCAATTTCACTTTTGATTCTTAGTTCTCACAAGTATTATCAAGCTCACTCAGGAATATTGATATCCTGTCATATGTTTAAGACCATTCAGCCTCACTCAATCAAGCAAGTCATGCTTGGAATTGATCAGAATTTGAACAGAACATTAATCATTAGTTCATGGATTTTATGAGTGAGTCAGAAGCCAAATTAGACAAAAGAAATGTCTTGTCATTCTTTAGTTTTGGTTGCAGGTGATAATGATGACTCTATTACCTGTGGAATCAAATTCTAAAGCAGTAATAAAGGGAAATATTCTACCTCCAATCAACCATATCTGCCATCATGCATGACTTAAATTCAAGAATTAAATCCACTTCCTTTCATCCTTTACTCTGTTACTCAGTGATTTCAGAACAAGTGAATGATAATTTCCACTGACACCATGCAAGTAATTTAATAGATTTTCATGTACTTGATCCTACCATTGCCATGGTATAATAAGTGGCAAAATATTCATTTCCAACCAAGTATTAACGGAAGCCTGTGCAAAAACTAGAGAATAACTATAGTATTAACGGAAGCCTGTGCAAAAACTAGAGAATAACTATACAAAATTTGAGAAAAAATATACACAAACTGTTCCCATGATTTCATAGATTTCATTGCATGGGAATGAAACCTCTTTTGGTGGTAGGGAATGTCAACCTTAGAGACACTCTGGTGTGTCCAAAAGGTCTCAAAACCAGTGTACAAAATGCATTGGAATAATGGAATTGTTAGTTAGAAGGAAATGTGCATAATGAATGATTTAAAATGACACAGTTTTAGTTAGATGATAAATGAGAAACATAATTTGACAGGATTGTTTGAAATACTAACTAAGTGAAGTAAGCAACATGTAACCCAGAATAAACACAAAAAGAAACTATATTCATGTATGATTACAATGCTTGATTATAGAGTACACATGAAAATGGATGTCCAGCTTGGATATAAAAACTACTTCATGTTGGATTGAATCTTTCTCCCTCGGAAAAAAGAACCAATCAAAATATTATATCTTATTTTTGAAATACTCATTCAAAACAGTAGTAAGACTTTACTTACTTAGATAAACTCAGCAATGGTATTTATATACCCTTGAGGTCTTTATTTATCTAAGAATTTTATTACATTTGGACTAGTATTCCTGAATTAGATATGGTTGAGATTGAATCTGATAACCTTACCTTCTTAGTAAAATACTGAAAGCCCCTAATCGATCAAGTTAATGTCTCTACACTATCATCAGACTCATAAAGAATCAGTAGTATTAAACTGAAATAAAATCTATAACAAATGATAATAAAATGAATCAAGAATCAAAAATGAATTAATATAACTGGGTTTGATGTTAACAACCCGATCGAGTCTCTTGACCGATGAAAAATCATCACAATCACATCTATCTGATTGCATCCTATTCTTACCTTTAGGAATAGAGGCCTAGGCGTTTTTGTGCAGGCTTAACCATGTTCTTATAGAACAATAGAATTCAAACAAGTTAAATAAAAGAAACAACTTTTTATCCTTCTTTTTATCTTTCCCTTCCTCTTGTATTTAGTTTTTTATCTTTACCATAGTAATACATTTATTACTACCCCCAATCTTGTCCAGCCAGACCTCTACGCAGTACGCGAGATCAACAGCTGACATCATGTCGTATCCGATAGCTATTTATTTATGGAAATACCTATCCAGACTAAAAAAAAAGGAGGACACGTCATCCGATCTCGGCCTGGGCGATCGGACCGGCCGGACGAGAGTCTCTGACGGCCCGCGCCAATGATGCATCCCGATTCCCCGGGACGGAAAGAAGCCTCCGCAATGAATATGTACTTCACCGGCCGGATGCCTCATATTGGATCTCTGGTGAAGATGGCGGGAGTGGACTGGTTCGTGTTTACACACCAAGCCCACAACTACAGACAAAACAACACAAAACAAAGAAAAGAAAAGAGTGACTATTATTCAGCCAAACTTGTCTCATCAAATTCATAGAAAGGTTCGAAATTTTAATGGACTTCAAAATGAATGCTTCATTTCCCTTACAACTTTGAACTTGTAAATGATACGCGCAAATCAGATCAAGGTGAATGCATCCTATGTGAGATGATCAATATGTATTCATATCCAAAATAAATTGGCATCTTCATATCCAAACTTATCCAAAGAAATCCAAAGCTGAGCGAAAGACTCACACAAGGAATATCTCTACATATTTTTTTTAAGGTTGAAGAACTACATATGTAAAAGAGCTCCATATCTTTCTTCTTCCGGTTACCATGGACATATTTTCAGTTCTGCATCGATCATGTTGTCCTGATCGACCATTGTCTGTGTATATATACTGTTAATCGAAATTAGTTCACCAAAACCAAACAATCCACAAGGCTTTTCCTCGTCTTTGATATGTCAGAGTCGATTGGATCAATCGAGTCAAGTATGTAGGCCTTCCAACCTTCCTCGGCCGCTTCATGAAGCAACTTTGGGAGCTATGTAGGTTGGAGCCAAGAACAAGACATTAATTTATATCACTCGGCTCCGAAAAGCTTGGGCAAATTGTACCATGTGCGTCCTCCTTCCACCGTGAGTTATAATCAAGCAAACCAAACCAAAAGAAAAAAAAATGATGACAAGAGAGAAAAAGACTGAACAGTATTGAAATATGTAGACGGAACAAGCTCACCCCCCACCCAAAGCAAATTATCTCCTATTTTGTTGAAATGTTGTGTATGATAACATTTTGACTTGACGGATTGACCTGCGGCGGGCTGAGGCTCAGAGTCAAACGAAAGCGAAGGGATCATTCGGATTTCCCTGGGCCGGCTTTCCGGGCATCGGATGGATGGACTCGAACAAGAGCAAGAAAATGCCCGGAGAGATGATCGATGATGATCAGTTTGGAAAAGTCAAGCTCAAGAGCTTGTAAACAGGGGAGGGGGTCACAGAGTGCGTGGAAGCTCAATCAAGCTATGTAATCGATCGCAGATGAACCCGAGAGTTTCGAGAGGTCTGGAATCTCAAACGATTGTAGGTAGCTAAGAGACATCATTGTAGACCTTTCTCTCTCGTATTCCTAAAAAGATATGTATCTCGCTTGATGGCCAAAATATTAAAGACTAACATAAAGAAAAGCAGGAAGTGGGAATAGCGACCTTCTAGGAGTCTGGATCTGTCTGTGTGCGGAGGCTGGCTGAGCTTGCGGAGGGGGCGAGACAGTGTTCTCCGCCCTGGAATGAAGGTTCCCGTTGTTTTGATTGTAGGCCCAACTCCGACTTGCCGGGGATTTCTTGGAAGTGATTTCCGATAAGCCAATGATCGGGCAGAATGTAGCCGATACAACCATCACCCGTGATCTCAATCAAGGTTAAACATAGTCTACGATTATCAGCAGCTGAGTTCTTCGGAGCGATGGTACATAAGCCGATTTGCAGGTGAATCAGATTGCTACATATTTAGCTACAACATAAGCCATCTCTTTCAGCAGACCGAGCAAGCTGGCTAGTCCCCGCCTCAAGATCCACATCCGATTCCTCGAGCAAGGACAGCTTCCGAAAGAAGGGAGACGATCATCCTGCAGCTGGCAGTGCATATTCAATTCGTGGCCGAGTTCAGTCACCGACACCACACACACCTTCACTCTGAACCACCATACACATAACTTGGATCAGGCTACTACAACACATGTCAACGAAACCTTTGATTATCATCGATCCCAAAAACAATCAATCGAGCGACAAGGGAAGACGTGATGATGTGCAGACTGGACTTATCTCGACGGTATCTCAGAAACAACAGTCTCGTTGCTTTCCATCATGTGTGTACCAGCACAATCAAGCTGACTGTCTGGAAAAGGAATGTTCGCGAACATCGCAACATGCTAATCTTCCTCTGAGTCTAGCGGGCTCTTTCATCAATTTTCAACACTCCTCTTCATCCATCGACTGATTGCTGATCTTGAACTCCATAGCCTTCTCGAACTTGGAGAAGGCCCCGTCTGATCAAAATGATGCTGGTTTGTGCCAGCCAGATGTATTTATTGGCTTTGATTGATTCTTTTTTTTGAGAAGCATTGGTCACACCCGATTTCTCAAAATGGCTGGTAGAAGGTGATAATGTCTTGTCTGCATTCACCTATGTAGAAGCAACAAAAAACATACATTTTCAGCCTCAAACATCCCTCAAACATAAAAAGAAAGGATCTGAAAAACTGGTAGCTTTGAGCCGTGTGCAAAACGTGATGCCGCTCACCCCAACTTCACGTCAGCCAGTTATTCATGAGAAGGAGTGCCAAAATAGTCGGTCATGAAGAACAAACTTGAATCAACCAAGAAACATGCTAACTTGGCTTTCAATCTGGAAGTTTGATTTGTTTACACTCAGAAGAATTTGGGCTGGTTGGCTGGCCAGTGAGATCTGATTGCACTGTGGTGACTGATGAATCCTGTCAATTGACTGCTTTGTACTGTATCGGAAGGGTCCCCCCTCCCCCCAAAAAAAGGCCAAAGTGTGACACAGATAAGACAGCAATTGTAATACACTGGAGTAAAAGACTGATATCCAACTGTTTCTACAGTTCCTTTTTCCCCTTGTCATTGGAATATTTCTTTTTTTCAAAGACTTCTTCACCCATGGTACTTCTCCAAAGTTCACACATTCAGAACTTATGGGCCACTTGCAATTCCTGAATCTTTATTTCAGGATATGATCAGATTTTCAAGATTCCCTGCAAATGATTTATGAATTATGCATGCATAAATTTTTGGCATATTTAACTTTGAACACCACAGCAAAACCAAAATCAGAACAAGATGTTGCTATAACATTCCTGTTGAAATTTTGAACTCCGGACAAAGAGAGGAGAGAGTTTTTGGATGATGGTGCAAAAAAGTTGAAGACCTTTTTTTGGGAGGGGTTCACAGAAAAATTAGTGAAAGAACCCATGATTTTCATTCACTGTAGTTAGGCAGACTTATGTAGACTAAATACAAGTCTCAAATTGTGGTTCTTGAGAGAGAATGAATAAAATAGAATAATGAATAAAAACTAAGAGGAAGAATTATATGAGTTCTTGGAAGAAAGAATCTCAGCAGGACTTCTCAGTCTCTTTTAGTCAGGCAAGAAAAGTCAATCAAGAAAAAAGCAGGAATTCTACCACAAATATTCAGAGGTGTTAATTGTAAATAACTAGTTTTTTTTAAGAATCAAATAGTGAAATAGAAAATGAAAGAAAGCAATCAGAAGGATAATAGCTGTTGATAACAATTGCTTTTGAGAGTTCTAATTAGAAAGTGCACAAAATTCAGCATAAAACTAGCTATGAAAGATCATAATTCAGTCCAGATTAAGATGATTCAAGAAGAGAAAAGGAGAAAGAATGAATGAGTTTTTTTGGGGAGGGGTAGACAGGAACAGAAAAACTCAACAATTCCCTTCCCTACATACCCCTTTTTCTCCCTACCTAATACTTGAAAGGTGTACCTAAATTTGGACTCAATTTGAATTTCCAAGCTGTAATTTTAGATTGTTTTTTGGCACCCTGAGAGTACAAGCATCCATTCAGAATAAATTATATTCTTGCCTCTGCACACTTCAATTCACTTTTTTCATTCAACCTACTACTACTGTGTACAGCCCCTTGACAGAAAAAAAAAACTAAACCCCCACCTGCTTAAAGTGCATAGAGGGGTTTCATGATTTCTGTCAAGGGGCTGGACCTGAATTCAGACACTAATATTAGCCTTCAACACAATTTTGATTACTGAACTTATGTTTCATATTATTCTTTAGCTACCATTAAATCACAAAACCCCAATCAAAATAGCATAAATCTCCAATATTCCCTTCTCTGCACACTCCTACTCAAATTTCACCTGTTACTAATGTAGGCCTGATTCAAACACTCACAAATTTGTATCCAATTCCAATTCCTGGAATTTTATTGCAGATTACTGTACAGTGGGTGTTGTTTTTGGCTGCTTGTTTTGGATCCCAGAGCTTCAAAGCACAAGATTAAAGTCATGAGACTTGGTCAAGTGGTGCAGAATAGGTCACAAAAAATGAATATGAAAAAATAAAAACAAAAAACAAAGTTTCAAATTTTGTGAAAAATAAAAAACAAAATTGATTTTTTTCAAAAGCTTTCATATTCATCTTGGGGAAGTGTGAGTGCAGAGAGAAAGAAAGAATGGAAAGTGGGAAGAATGATTATAAATGAAAATTTTGGAAAAAGTGGTTACCAGATAGTTTTAACCAGTTGTTGAGTGGGGCATTCACCAGCTCACATTGCAGTAAAGCACTAGAATTTACTGTTTGGACTCCAATCTGGACAACCAACCTGGCTCAACCTTTTTTGGTTCCAATTTGTTTCATTTATAATCATTCTTGCCATGTTCCACTCTTTGTTTCTCTCAGAACTCCCACTCCCCCAAAATGAATAACAAAGCTTTTGGGAAAAAAAACATTTTTATTTTTTATTTTTCACAAAATTTATAGAGATGTCAGCAGGTACCCACTTGCAGGTACCTGTTTTACAAAGCAGGTACCGGGTGCGGGTGCGGGTGTCAACATTTGCGGTAAAAAAAGGCAGGTACCTGGGTACCTGCCTTACACCGGCCCTGGGAATGCTTCCCCTGAAGAATTTAATTTATCATTGGTGGTCCAACACTCCCTTTTTTGGGTGTGTTAGGCTGCACAAAGGTGTCAGCAACCCATGTAGGACACCAGCTGGTGTCTTACATGTGTTGCTGAACTAATCTGGTTGCTTTGTTGAGGCCGGAGGGTCCCCTCCGGCCTTTGAGATGGTGTACAGTCTTGATGACTGGAGGAATTCCTCCAGTCATAAAGACGGTGTACAGTCTTCATCAATGGACATTGAATAAGGCAAATGAGGCCAAGCAAAAGGGTAAAGCTAAAGATAGGTCAGAGAGAAGATAAAATTCAAATTGGTGATAGAATAATTTGTTTTTCTTTATTTCTTTATTTTTATTTTGTTCTTACTCATATATCTAGTGAATATCAATCTTATATTTACCAAGTCATGCAGAAATTCAAGGGTGAGATTTCTGGGTATATTTGCCTGCAAAAATGTGCCAGGTACCCGCAGGTAAAGTGCCTAGACAGTGAAAAATGGCGCGGGGTGAAAAGGGTGATTTTGCATATTTTATGCAAGTGCACCCTGCAGCCCCCTATCCAGCCAGTCACTATCACTCCCTCCCTATTGGATCACAAACAACACCGACGGACAGGAAACTCAACCAAAGTAAGTCTTTTTTTTTCTTTCCTATCTACTTTCCGCCACCTCCCCAACTCTCGACATCGCCCCGCAAGCTAGGCAAAAAGAAGAGCGGACGAGAGGCCGAGTATTTGTCGGCATCACCACCATTGTAGGAGGACGGAATCATGCAGCGGGTCTTCGATCTGGCCGATCTGCGCTCCTCGTCATTCATTTAGTGCTCAGCCACCCCCGCCTGTCGGTCTTCCGACGCACTCTCAACCGTCTCGTCCGAGCCAACGTCGCCCTCGATCTGTCGACGAGCCTTCTTACTTCGCAGGAGGAGGAGCAAGAGGAGGGAGAGGGGGAGACCGGTATTGCGAAGGGAGAAGATGAAGCTTACATCTGAGAGATTGAAGAGGAATCTAGAAGTGCCAAACAACGGGCAGAGATCTTGAACGGGTTCCTCAATCCATCTTCTTCCTCCTCCTCCACCACCACCATCGGGCCTTGCTCCTCCTCCAACAAAATCACTAAACTCGCCACCGTGCGCTTCAAAACTTTCTCCTCAAACTCGGCGACTGGGTCCGCTTGTTCGACCCGCTTCATCCCGCAATCAACTGACCCGTTTTGGATGACCACCTCTTGATGGATGGCCGCGTCGTGATGGGCGAGGAGCTTATCAACAGCCAAGATGGTCTGGTCGATGTCTGAGGATCGGAGAGCATTTGGAGAATATATACGCGTAAGCTCCGATAGCCTCCGCATCCCATTCAGTTTCTCAGAGAGTCATCTCGCTCGTACTTGCATTGATTTGAGTTAATGTTCTCGTGTCATTATGGATCGGCACAATCGTCCTTTCTAGTCTTGAGAGTCTCTTCAAGGGTTCAAGATTCCAGCCAGAAACATAAACAACCAACGTTCCATCCTCCTCCTCCTCCAGCGACTCCCAGCCGACTTGCTCCAGACCGACGACGGCCCCGTCGCCGGCGGCTCCGCCTCCTCCTCCAGCCACTCCCAGCCCGCCCAGCAAGGGCTACATTGTCCCCGACCAAGACCCCTCAACGGATGACAACTTCTACGTCTCCTCCTCCGCAGCTCCGTCCCGTCCCTCAGCCCCCAAACCTCCGCCCTTTCATCATAATCCTGAGCCTAATCATTGATTCTTTTTCCATTGCTTCAGATGCCGCAAAAACCACGAAAACCACAGGTGGCATTCGAGCAGAAAGCAATCATCGTTGGCATGTCAAAGGCCGGAATGAAGCCAACAAAAATCTCTCAACAGACCGGTATCAGCCGAACGACAGTATCTGCCATCATTGCCTGTTCACTTGCCCGTGGGACCGTTGCAAGGCAGCCTGGATCTGGCAAACAGCCCAAGACTAGCAAGACCGACCTCCACCTGCTCGGAAGGATCCTCAAGGAAAACCCTCACATGAAGATGGCGGAGGTTCGAGACCAACTTGCTGTTCCAATCAGTACCCGAACTGCTAGACGACGAGCTCACGATCTTGGTTTCAACAATCGGGTGGCCGTGAAGAAGCCTTTCCTCACTGAAACCCACGAGCGATGTCGCTTGCAATTTGCCAAACGCTACAAGGACTGGACTCCCAACGACTGGAGGAAGATCGTGTGGACCGACGAGTCCTCCTTTGAAATTGGAAAAATTTCTCGACAGGTCGTCGTTTGGAGAAAACCCGAGGATAAATATAAAAAAGAGTATCTAACTCTGACATTCAAGAGTGGTCGAACTTCGACAATGGTCTGGGGAGCGTTTTTCGGAACCACTCGTGCCCCTCTCACAATCATCCCCCCCGGCCAACGAAAGGCCGCACAATTCATCAAGAACGTCTATGAGAAGGCCTTGATCCCCTTCCTTGAAGAAAACGACCCCAACCACGAACTCACACTCATGGAGGACAACGCCTCGGTCCACACCGCTAAGCTCAGCCGTGAATTCCTTGACTCGTATTCGATTGAGAAAGTCGACTGGCCAGCACAATCACCTGACCTCAACCCCATCGAAAACGTCTGGAAGGTCCTCAAGAGTAACATTCAAGAGCTCTACCAGCCGCGATCCATCCCAGAAATGCACGAGGCCCTCCACCAAGCCTGGGCCGACTTCCCTAATGACATCCTTGACCACCTCATCGAATCTATGCCGCATAGGATGGCGGCTGTCATTGAGGCAAAGGGTGGTTCCACCCGATGGTAGAACAACACTTCATGGTATTTTTTATTACTTATATTAAACAAAAAAACTTGAAAAAGACATAAAAAAAGCATAAAAGACAAAAGAAAAAAAGAAAAAAAATAATAATAATAAAAAGAACTTTTTTAACTTTTTTTTTATATTCTTTCTTCTCCACTCTCAGCCCATCCCCCCTAAAAATTGTGTATTTTTTACATCAATATTGAAAAAACTACAAAATTTGATTTTTTTCAACAATTTTTATCTTTTTTTTGATTGCATGTGTAATTAATCTGTTTCTATATTCTTTTTCCCTGACCCACTGTGCCCCTGTGACAAAAAAATTGGAGTTGAAAAGTGGCTCCTTGCCCTCCAAAAAAAATAAATGGGACACCATTTTTCACTGTCTAGGCACTGTACCTCGTCCAAGCGGAAGGGTTTCCTTCCGATGGACGAGGTACATTTACCTCGTCCAGGCGGAAGGAAACCCTTCTGATGGACAAGGTACATGTACCTTGTCCAGTGGAAGGAAAGCCTTCCGCTTGGACGAGGTACATGTACCTTGTCCATCGGAAGGAAACCCTTCTGATGGAGGAAACCCTTGCGCTTGGAAAAGGTACATGTACCTCGTCCATTGGAAGGCTTTCCTTCCGCTGGATGAGGTACATGATCCAGTGGAAGGAATGGGCCGGTGAGGTTGTATAACCTCGTCAACCAGGAGGATTCCCTCCTGGGCCGGCGAGGTTGTACCGCCGACCAGGAGGGAATCCTCTCCTCCTGGTCGGCGAGGTTCCTGTTTTTTTTTGAAAGAAAAAAAGAAAAAAAAATCTTATTTTTTTTTTTTTTGAAAGAAAAAAAAAACTTTTTTTTTTCTTATTATTTTTTTTGAAAGAAAAAAAAACAATGAATGGGGCCGTCCCATAGGACCCAGGCATGGGTCCTATGGGACAGCCCTGGTCCTAAACGCATAGACCACATATGCATATATTTGGCGTGCAGGCAGGCACGCCAACCTGCAGGGTACACCATTCTGCAATGGTGTGCAGGCGCGCACGCCAATCTGCAGCTGTCGTGCAGATTGGCGTGCGCGTGGGGGGTTGGCTTGCGCTTATCAACCCCCCCCTTGCTGATAACTAAGCTATAAATTCAGCACTGATCCAAATATAAAGGCAAAAATTTGGAGATTGTACTAGACTATAGTAGAATGACCAACAGTAGGCTAAGAAAAATTTTGATAGTGTACTCAGAAAAATAGAAAAATTTGACAACAGTGAGGTACAGCTACTCATAGATGACACCTATTTCTTCTTCATCATCAAAAGATCCAGAGTTGTACCCGCCTAGCTTCACAGTTTTTGGGGCACCAGCCTTGGTCTTGCCATGGTTCTTCTTCTGGCAGTTGGAGGATTGGTGGCCAAGTTTGCCACAGTTGGAGCAGGCAAAATGTTTGGCCGAAGCGGCAGCAACAATATCAGATTGGTTGGTACTGTTGAGACTGACCTCATGTGCTTCCAAGGCTCTGATAGCGTTGTCCAAGGACATTTCAATTGCTGTGTAGACCATGGAGTCACGAACAGCTGACCACAAGGATTTGAGGAATCTAAACCTCCAACAATTCAATCGGTGGGGAGTTCTCCAATGGAGAGGAGATCGTCTGCCGCTACTCTGATACAACCAATCCACAGTGCAATTGGCTTATTTGGGTCATGACAAATGGTCCAGAATGCCTCCTGTAAACATATGTGACGGGCCCGCGTGTTCTGATCTCGTAGGTGTTCACAATTGCTGTGAAAAGTTGGGAAGCAGGCTTAACCTTCTGGTATCGTTGCGCCAAGGGATCCGTCAAGGTGAGTCAAATGGTTGAGCAGGCCATTTTGGATAAGGCATCCCAATCTTCTTTACTTTATTTTGGATTGTAACCTTTTGAATCGGCCGGGAAAGTATAGCTTGCAACTTCCTTTCCTTTGTCTTTTGGACAAGGAAGACTTCCTTTCACGATGTCAAAAGTATTCTGCATACCCAGAACGTCCTTGAGGTGAGATTGCCAGCAGGGAAACACTGCTGCGTTACCATCAAGAGACTCAATTGTGGCGACTAGGGAGGAAACGTTCTGGACTTGTCGATAGCCAGACATGATTTAGAGCGTCAACAAGGGTGGTTTGGAGAGTTCTAGTGTAACAAAATCCGAGCGAGAAACCAAGAGGAAACGAGTTACTGGAAGTATTGCAAGATTTGATAGAGTTAAACGTATGTATGAGCAAGACTACAGTAAAAAATGAAAAATGAAAACATAGAAAAATTCTGAGGCAAGTTGGACAAGCATTTTTGGAATAGCTGTACCTCATTAACTGGAAGGAATCCCTTCCTGCCAATGAGGTTGTTAAACCTCATCAACCAGAATGAAATACTTCTTCTTGGTTGACGAGGTATACCTCATTGGCCAGAAGGAAATCCTTCTGGTTTGTTGATAAGGTATACCTCATTGGCCAGAAGGAAATCCTTCTGTTCAGTTGATGTGGGATATACCTCATTGACCAGAAGGATTTACTTCAGGTTGGTGAGGTTGTTGTAACTCATCATCCAGAAGGATTTCCTGATGAGTTTGTTACACCTCATCAACTGGAAGGAATTCCTTCTGGTCGATGAGGTTGATATACCTCATCAACCAGAAGGAATCCCTTCCAGCCAATGAGGTTGTTATAACTCATCAACCGCAAGGAATCCGTTCCAGTTGATGAGGTTGTTATACCTCATCAACCGGAAGGAATCCTCTCCAGTTGATGAAGTTTTTACACCTCATCAACCACAAGGAATCCCCAGTCAACAAGTGTTTTTCCAACCCCCTATATGTAATGTAACTACCTACTGTTGTGGAAATGGGAAAGGGAACTAAAGTGTTGTGTTGTCAGACACTGAGACACTAGCCCAGGTGTCTACAATATAATGTAACCCCTTTGGGTTAGATAATAAACATTATTATATGTAATTTTTAATTTAATACATATACAGCAATGTTATCCTCTTTTATATGTGTTACTTATGTTAATAAATATTTAGTAAATTAATAAAGATTTACCTCTTTATTAATTTACCTATTTCCTGAAAGTTATATTCAAGTTGAAAAGGACAATTATATTTCATGATTATCAAAGAGATTATTATCCTGTGTATCTCTGTTGTAAATACTTATAGTCTAGTTTATACAGTTGCGGATGGCAAAGACCTGTGGGGGCCGACCCGCAAAAATACATTTTGTGCGCGGGCCCTATCAACTCACACCACATAGGCCGGAACCACAAGCCAACCACAATTAAGGGTGTCTCAGACCTTGTAGATCTCAGAATTAAGTCGGCTAACGTTTCTGCCCAGCCAATTTTTTTTTTTTTTCGGTCACCAAGAAATCCGGACATACCCTCAAGACCATACACTCAACCCATAATCATGTACTTACAGCTTAGTATCAAGTTAAGAGAGCTTCATAAACCCATAATTATGGACTTATGCAAGCCCTGGGTATGAAATTTCAAGCGGTCAAAGCTTTACTTGATCGGCTTGGTCAAGCAAATTGAGAGACAGGCACTTTTAATTTGAGAGCAGCGCAGGAGATGAAGAAACAAGAATGGATTGTAAAACATTTTTTTTTTGTATGTGAAAGTCTTCAAACTTGATTGATTGTCAAATAAACTTGATCGATTGTAAGATAAGAAAAACTTGATCAATTGTAAGATGAGCAGGAAAATTTTTCAGGTCAACATGTCAATGCTCATCGCTGCGTTTCGAGGAATACAGCGATGTGATTTTTACTTCTTCATCAGTACTTGGGATTGAGGACCGTTGTATCCTTGTTGATATGCTGAAATTTGTTGATCAATGCGGCAGAAGTACTTTCGTATGGTGACAAGAGGGCAGGATTTCCGAACCTTTTCAAAAAGGTCTTTTGCAGCAGGAAACGACTGAGTGGTGTGAGACTGCTTTCGATACCCTATTAACATTGCAGAGTCAGCTCATGCAAAAATTGTGTTGAAGAAATAAAAAAAAACTTACAATCCTTGATATAAGACCAGAAGAGCTCAATCGGGTTCAGTTCACAGTGGAACTTGGGTAAGAAAAGACAGACATGTCCAGAATCCTCGATGATCTGTTGTAATAATGGTCGTTCGTTGACAAAATCGGATTGACAAGACATGATCTTGGACCAGCAGCAAGTGCTCGAGTTGTTAGATTCATCTTGATTAACCATTACATCCGGGCTTGAGGAATTGGTGGCCATGATCTCGTTCACGCATTGTTCTTGGGACAAGAAATAACCGGTGTCTTCGGCTTGACGTAATAATTTAGCTGATCGTTTGGTCGCATCTTTTCACATGTTTGACATAGCACAACTGTCACACCGTAACTTCAATGCTGGTTTGCCATTTTCACGTGCTTTGGAGCTGTAATGCTGCCAAAGACCTCTCTCTTCTAAGATAGTCTGGATTCCTTTTGCTTGGCCAGCGAGTTTTGGATCTGGGTGTGATGAATCGTAGGAAAAAGTCTGAGGTCGGCCTCGAAGGTGTAACGGAATGCATGGATCATCACAAGGGATGATTGAGTCGCGGAGATGAGATTGTTTGCCTCCAGGTTTGAGATTCATGTTTTGAACTCTTAGCGCCGTCTTTGAAAAGGCGCCATGTGCTGATGAACAGTCAAAGATAAAAACGGCTTGAGAATTTGGATGAAGGTGTTGAAAAATGGGAATTGCCTTCTTTGAAACCTGTTCGCATAACTGTTCCATGTCCCACCATGGATCACCATTACTTCCAGGATAGATGACGGTAGCAGCATCGGCTGAGACAGGCTTAGTGCCTCCATCATGCTGGGAAGATTGGAATTCAATGTCGGATAGTTCAAGTCTTCCAGAGGTCTCTAATATAAAATCGGATATGTGAATTAATCGACCGGTATTCTTTGATCGTATCTGATGGAATTTTACTGAGAGCTGAGAGAAGGGGGGAAGCGACCAGAAAGAAGAACTCCGAAGAGAGAAACAAACAAGGTCGAAGAACCCTATATGAGGGTTAAGCTGCTAGCTTGTGAGACGGAAAAGCGAACTCACTACAAGAGACTGTATTAGTGGTCTCAGGGAACTGGCGCAGAGAACAGATGTTTTTCATTTTCTAACTCAGAAATCATGGCTATTTAACTACATACATGTTATGGCTGAGTTGTGGGACAGAAGAGGAAAAATGAATATTCATCTGGAAATGAGAGGAAAAGGAGTGACAGATGGAGGAAAGGAGTGACACTGGCAAGACAGAGAGAAGAAGGAAATGGAACGACGACAGCTGAATTCCAACAGTATCTCAGTCGTTCCAGGAAGAAGCCAGGAGGATTTAGGCCTCTCCTTTGCGTGAATGGTAGATTCATCGTGGAAGACAAAGATTGTCTCTTTCATAGAACCCAGCACTTCAGGATCAACTCTTGAAGATTGTTGAAACGTCTCAGTATTGTACATGCGTGATCGCTTTCGGTACATTGTGTAGGTTTCAAGGTATTCAATTCTTGATTTGACAACATCAGGTCGCTTGTGGCCATCGAAATAGAGGCACTTCTTGTGCACCTGTGATCGGAATCCAAGCTTAACCATCCATCGAGTAGCACATTCGCGACTGATAGACCTGTCAATTCCAAAACTTGGAAGAAGATCATTGATAACAAACGACTGGAATGTGATCGGAGTGACCTAAAGAAAAAGCCTATATTGGATCAGCTTTCTAAATTGAAATGATATCAAAAAGACAATCATCTTCTTACCGCTCCGGGGACTTGTGATGCAGCCCATTTGAAAAGAGATGCCCGAAGTTCATTATTGTTCAGCAAGGATTTGTGGTTCGTACGATTCCCGTGTTTGATTACAGCAAGCTCCCGGTATCTAACTATGTGTCGAGCTTGCTTAGCAATGTTTCTGGCTAGGTAAATTCCACTACGGTTGTGCTGTGGTTCATCTTTTGAAGAGTTTTGACGTATTGATGACTGAGCAGTAGCCAGAGATGCAGCTTCAGTGGGGAGCTTGGTCCCATCAAGCATAAACTTGAATCGGAGGATGTTGAATTCTTTCAGATTATCGATGATGGACTGAGGAAATCGTAGGCTCTTATCTTTCTTAGCCTTTTCTTTGAGAATGGCAGTTACAGAAGTAATTGCAGTGTTCAGATCCTCCCAAAGGGCTCGAGCCTTCTCCGATCGATTTTTAGCCACAGGGGCTCTTGGAGCTGAAAGATAGCTGCTCATCTGATCCGCAAGACGTACTCGAACTGCATCCAAATCCAAGAGGTCTTCACTTGGCAGATGATCATTGTTGGTCTGAAGAGTTGTATCAAGAGCCACATCGAGAGTTGCAGATTCAAGATTTGGATCGATTGTTGGTTCATTATTTTTAATGGGGGTTTCTTGTCGGATGAGATAGTTTTGCATGATGTTGTTGTTGTGGCCAAGTGCTTGAATTCGTTTGTTCTTTCAATCATGTTTTGTTTGACGGGGAAGAGGTGGAGGGACTAGCTTTTGAGATAGGGGATTAGGGTTCGTGTAAAATTCACATCCCTGTCACACTTGTGACATGTCTCTTTCCTCACTATTCTCCTCATTCCGTCTCTTTCTTCCCTTCCTTCTCCACGACTCTTCTCTCCCTCGTCTTCCTCAATCATCAACAATCCTCAACAACTTCAAATCACTTCCTCTACTTCACGGCTTATAATTGTCCCTCAATCTCATCCTCAAACTCTTCAACTCTCACAACCTCTATTCATACCTCTCATCCTCTTCTTTCTTTATCTCTCTCTCATCTTGATCTATTCCTTCTTCTTGTCTGGTGAGATATTATCCTCAGATCTTTCCCATCCTCAGCCCAACTATTCAACTAACCACATTATCTCAGCCTCTGCACTCTCTGTCCTAACCCTCAGTTCTTCAGCACTCTCCGCCATATCTTATATGTCTCTGTTTGTCAAACTGTTGGTTTTTTATTCTCTTCTCTATTCTTCTTTCAAACTCTCATGTCTTCATTCTCTAAATTGTTTCTATTCCAGCGTGTCGGTTTCATTTAGGCAATAAATCCTGAATCAAAATTCTTTTAGTTCGCAACCGGCTGTCTGTAAGAGGATTTCCCAGATTTCAAGAGACATTTTTTTCTACTTTCGATAGGAAGAGCAGTGCCAAAGAGAGATGACCACATTTTATTGGGAGGCTCGTCTTCAATTTCCAGGTCTTCTTCATCAGATGTGTTGTCATGAAGGGCAGCCTCAACATATTGCACTAGATCGTTAGCTCGGTTTTGTTCTTCAAGTTCTTTTTCATAGATCTCAAACACGTCTCCATCATCTTCAATGTGAGGTCGATGTTTTGGGATTTCGTCATGAGTTGAGCCAATATCGCTTCCACACAAGCTGGGTTGAGCTTTGTTTGATTCAAAAGCTCCACAATTATCGATATTTGCAACCTCAATTTCATCTTTGTCGCTATCTGGAATAGGTATAATTCTCTGAGAGTTGATTTCATTGTCATCGTCATTGGAGATAGGTATTGGTTGTGCGCAAGAGCTGGATTTTCCAGAATGTGTTGAGCAAGAGCTGGCTTTTTTTCGAAATTGTTTTTGTTTTGATTTTTTTCTTCGAGTGATTTTTTTTACCTCTTCAGAATCCTTCTCTTTTGCTTCTCTACGGCGTCGTCGTCTCTGACCTTTTTCAGCGTTGCTGACCGCCATGATGCTATGTATGTGGCAATTCAAGTAAGAATCAGCAGACTTTTAAAAGTTTATCAGAATCAACTCAGATCAAGTTAAAAAAATGGCCAATGTACATACCTAGACGGAAGTGTTGATTTGATGGGAAATTGAGAAGGACACAACATGCACTGTATGTGAATAAAGCCCTTCCTGGCACGGTAACAGAAGGCTGCGGCACAAGCTGTCACCCTTGAGAGTCATACATACATATGCAAAATTCTAATTGTACCAAATTGGGAGTATCTCCACCTGCAAAACAGAAAAAGATCTTTGGGTCCCAGCTTGGCGGACAAAATTTTTGGGAAAATTCAGGCTCTAGAAATCCGGACAGGCCAAAAAATCCCACAGGTCTTTGCCATCCGCAACTGTATCTCTTATGTGTATCTTCTGAAATAAGAGAGATTTTCCTCACATGTACTTTAATCTTCTTAGAATATCTTGACATTTCTTCCCAAAGAAATAATATAACCTTATGGGGACTGTACCAGTCCTATAAGCAGACTGACCTCTGCTCTGTAACGAGGAAGGCTTTCCCTCTAGGATTCCTTCCCCCAGAGATTACCATACAAACCCGCTATCCTTACCTATTTACAAACAGTACAATAAGTGGGTGGGGTTTTATTAATCTAGTATACATTACATTACATTACATATTACTCTAGTCCCTCTATTTTTTACTAGACAGTTACGGTTAACCTTTGTAACTAGACTAGTAATTACCTTTCTCTTCTCATAAGCCTGGCGCAGCGTAATTAATCCGCTGTCGTCCCTCATAATTGTAAGGAGCAGCTCTTCTAGTAATCTAGTATACTGAAGCAGCTAATTCCACTATGTTGGTTATCCAACTAGAGTGTGACCCATTTCCACTATGTTGTGTAAACAACCATAGTGTGACCTCATTACCTCATCAACTCCTGGTCACCTAAGAGACCGGAGCTGACATGTGTTTTCTTGGTCACAGTGGGCCAATCAGATGCACATGGAAATTGAAAAGATGTTCAAAAAATAAAATAGTCAAGTTACTTTGCAACCAAGAGATATTTCAGTCTTAGAGGTGAGAAATCATTAACATATCATGCTTGAACAAAATTGATTTCCTACTCTCATATTTTTCAGAGATTGTATTTTGGGCAACAGATGTCCTGAATCTTTGATTGAGGCAAACAAAATCTTGACAGCCATTTTGGATAAGAAGAAAGAATAAGTGGGGCTGGGAGATTCTTGAGGTGAATATTAAGACGATTTCTGCAGAACTCACAAGTCCAAATTATGTTTTCTAAATCTATTATGAAAGGAAAGATAGGAAGCATATAAACAGGCTGCTGAAGTACAAGTAGAACAACAGCCACTTTTGAGTGCTCAGCCAGGTAGCATCTGAGGCACCCATCTGAAGGAACAACAACTTTCAGCCATTGGGAATCACAAAGTTTCAGATGAGAGGTGATTAATGAATTCAACACACAAGTTGTGGGATGTGGTTAGTATGAAGAAATTCATCCCAGAAAATTGTAGGATGTGATGGGAGTAAAGGGGGTACAAGTGTGAAAGATGAAAGAAGCCACAAAAAACCTGAGCTTCCAGCTTTGAGACTTTCATCACAAGCCCCCCCCGCATGCCGGGGTCCCTGCGGCCCTCTGGAATGTGAGGAAGCAGTCCGTGACACTCTATGGTGATCAATGGTACAAGTGGTTAGCTACCTAATCGTCTGGTTACAGTCCCTCAACTCATTGATGAATTGCACTAACCTATGGTGATCCCAGTGTTGGGCCTTTCTGAATTATTGGAATTGCTTTCTTTCATATTGTTTGAACTGCCTAGTCCAAATTTCATTTGAATCAAATTTGAGTAGCCTTGTTAGCTCAGTTGGTAGAGCATTTGGCTTTTAACCTGTGAGGAAGCAGTCTGTGACACTCTATGGTGATCAACAGTACAAGCGGTTAGCTACCTAGTTGTCTGGTTCCTGTCCCTCAACTTGATAAAGAAGAAGAGGGTCTTTGCCTTGTGCTAGGTAAGTAAGACTAAGTAGAAAATATGTGCTGCAGCAAACCATGATGATAGAGAAACAACTAGGTTAAGACTGCGGGAAACTACATGATCACTACAACTGTCACAAACGTTTCACACCCCTGTTCTCAACATGGAACAAGGGGATTGGGAACCGGACGCGCAAGCTAGTGCCATTGCAAGCTTAACTAAGTCTCTCCATAGGAGGCGCAAAGCATCTCCAAAGGAGAGGCTTACCTTCAAAGTTGCTTGCCTTGACCAACAGAAATGAGTTTTCCGCAAAAAAAAAACCTCATTTGATTTTGTTCAATTTTTCAAAACACACTCAACGGACTATGAAAAAACTGAATAGACAAAGTTGTAGCCTGCTGTCTCAGCTTTCTTCAAAAAAAAGAAGTGACTCTTGCTTCCCTAAACAGTGGTGAAGCTCCCTTCCTCTTGAGCAATGTCCTGAGCTTTGTGAAGTAACAAAATTTGAAATATTTTGAGCTTTTGGATCCTGAAAAACTGGATCGCAGACAATCACACGGGCTTTCTGGCCAATGCATAGTATCTGTTTGTCAATTAAAATTTTTTAATTGGCTAGAATAGGCTCTGGCACGGCACAAGCTCTGAAATAATTTATACATGCATTTAGGTATGCATTTAATTTTGAAAATTCTGAGATGATCACATTACTACAAGGATTGTGTTTTTATGACCAGATATATCCAATGGAATATCCGGCCATGCTCAAGGCGGATTGCTCTCATAAATTTTCCAAATCATATATTTTACAGGGCATTTCTTGCCAGGGAGTACGGATATTCAAACATTTGAAGTGGGTAGAAACAAGGTCAGAAGCATACTATTTTGATGGTGGAACCCTCCGGATGAGAATCATACTGGAACAGGGTAGTATGTATTGGGCGGTATAGGTGAGGGGAACACTCTTCTTGCCATTTGGCTGGAGTTTGTAGGGGTAGACATGCCACTTTGAATGCAAGTCCCTCCTTCGGAGGTCGCGCCACGACCTCCTCGGAGGGACTTGTGTTAAGTTTGGCGCCATTGCCTGTGTATGGACTTGGTGTCACGGCTTGCTCCCTAAGACCATCTCCACCCGGGGAGGTAAACTGCGGTTGTAAACCAAATTTACCTTCTCAAGCCCAAAATTCCCCTGCCACCGGGGGTGCTAAAGGGGAGGTAAATTTAGTTTTCCCCCCCTTGGGAGGTATAGCGTTGCTAGATGTGCAATCGCTATACCAACCCAAGTACCTCCCCAACCCAACGGTTTCACAGGTCAATCCTGGTGAAATCCGGAGTTCCCCCCTCCTATTGACTAGCCTTTCACGCGCGAGGCATTGAGGATAGCAACCTGCGGTGGAAAATAATTTTTCCCAGGGTTGCTATCCGCACGCCGCAGCTCCCGAGCTGGTAAGTATACCAACTCGGATGCCTCTTTGGGGTGGAGATGGTCTAACAATGTGCACGGAAGAATGCAGACGACTTGAGTTGGTTTTTGGCTGGTTTTGACTCGCAGTGCGTACATGTGACATGTACGTGCCGTCACGCTACCCTTTGCACTCAAGCCTCACTTGAGAATTTGTAAGCACACAAACCAAGTCGCGGATGGATTTGTAAGATGATCACATTGAGAACACAAGTTTGTAGGTGCAGGGACCATCTACGTCCTCAAGTTGGCGCGAAAAACGGAAGAGGTTGGGTCGCGGGAGGAGTGAAGCCAAACAAGCTGGCCAGGAAAAGGGTGCGCGAGGGCCCGGAGCTCCGGCGGCTTCATCAACTCTCGGGACTTCTTCAAAAGCCACTCCGGAGCTCCTGGATCAGCGGCCAACAAAAAAGTCCCAAGCGCAATTCGGGGCAAACATAAGAGACACAACACATACAAAAACAATAGTTTTAAACTTTCAAAATTTGAATGGTAAAACGTACCTTCCCTCACATGTATGTGCCAGGGTAAAGTGTCTTGCCCGTCTTGCTATGCCCACAAGTCGAAGCAGTCGTCCTCTGCAGCTCAGTACACATGTTGTACTTGCTGGCGCTGCAGTGGCTGCTGGTAGCTGCTGGTCAACCACGCCCGTACCCTCGTGCGATGTATATGTACACTGCAATATGACAACCACTCTCGTGGTGGGAAGGCTAACATAGCCATGGCGCAAATGACGATTGATCACCGACAAACATTGTTGTACATACCAGTGTAGTTGAGCCCTAAAGATGGCTGATTGGAACTTGGTATACAATTGGAGCTGGGTGCAGTATGTATGTTGGCGACTATGTACTGTCTATCACCATAGAGATTTGAGATTGTAGCGAAATCCACAATTCTTTGGTGAAAGAGTATCGTGCTGCCAAAGCAGCCAGTGGATCAGCCCTTCTTCGCCGAACCCCCTTCGTGGCGTTCATATCTGGACGAGCGAAATTTAGGCGGCTTTGCAGTGTGACTTTCGATCATAGCATTGTCCTTCCAAAGCCCTCCTTATAAACAATGGTAGTGTGGCGGCCCATTTCGCTACCTTCCCCCAATTGTAACTCAACCTTGATCATTTCTTTTAAAACTTTCTTACAATGCGCTATCCAACTTGGACGCACTCCTTATCAGCGTACCTTTTAATTTTTGCTTTCGGGATACAATCCAAAGCGCTCCCGCCCCCTTCAAAGAATCCCTCCCCACCTGCAGCCGGATCAGCCCTCAAGTTTAAGTCGGCTGCTGCTCAGAAATATGTAGTGCCCCAGAAACTTCCCTTGATGGATTTCTCGATCTCCCAGACGTTCGCAGTTCACAGCTTTTAGAGTCAATAAAGATAATACGGGTACAAAAAAGGCTGAAGCTTTCCCTGTCCCAACTTTTTTTTCTTTGCGTCATCATTTGATACACAGATACGCTGGATTGATGAAGCTTTCCGATAAACCTGACGAAACCGAACAGTTGTTCTTTTGGTTCGTACCGACTGAAAACCCTGCAGCGGCAAAGAACTTAGCATTGTGGACCAACGGCGGACCTGGGTGCAGCTCTCTGCTCGGCGCCTTTCAAGAAAATGGACCGGTGAGATTTACTCCAAGTTGCTTGAAGGGAAAATATACGATGGTCTCTGAAGTCCATTCAACAACGCACCCCCCTGGCAGATAATGTGGGATCAGGGCAAGCCAAAAGCTGTAAAGAACCCAAAGTAAGTCGGGGACTACTCGGGTCTAAATTGTAGAAAACTTCGATCTGATGGATCCTTTTCCATTCAAATCAATCCCTTGCCTCAAAAGTTCCTGGTCTCAAGCCTCCAGCATGTTATACCTTGAGCACCCAGTCAACGTTGGATTCAGTACTGGGAAAGCCATCATTAGCAATGAAAACCAGGTCGCGGAGTACATTTTTAAATTTTTGACTAATTTCCTCAAAGTAAGCAAATGGCTATACTGAACTCAGTTCGCCCGATGGCTTTCATCTCAGTCCTTGTGATGCCACGACGAGAAAGTAAAAAGCTTACGCATTGACTGTATTTTATCGCAGATTTTTCCCGAAATGAACACTGCAAACTTTTATCGTAGGCACTTTGACAGCTGTATCAATGTATGACAAAAGAAATTGACCTTTCCGCCTGCGATCGAAATAGTTACCGGGGAGTCATACGCTGGAATGTACTTGAGTTACGCAGCCAACCTAATTTACACAAGGCAATCTGAATTGGCATTGAAGCTGCAAGGTGTACTTTTCATTGACCCGGTCCTTGCATCGTGAGCACCTTTTCCCCGACCGTATGGTTATTACTGATCGGTGCAACTCGGATTTCTGACTTGTTGCCGCATTTGCTTCTCAGCTCTGTGTTCCAAGAGGATCTTCCTCTATACCCTTTTGTGAAAATGGTTGGTTTTTATGAGTCATCTCGATCTTATTTCTCAAGGTTACTGATTATTGTCTCCCACCTCCAGAACGAAGATGTCTTCAAATTCAATGCCACCTTTATGAAGCAACTTGAATCCGCTCATAACTCATGTGGATATGCCGCCTTCCTCGACAAGGTACATGCATCCAACCATCTGACATTTCATTATTTGTCCCGAAAGTTCCTGACTGTCGCAAATCTAATACTTTGTCCTACTTCGTCCAGTTTTACAAATACCCTGTTCCAGGACGATTTCCCGATATCACAAATGTACGAGTAATGTTGTCTCATGATTATGTGACACCTCAGCGACTCATCTTCGGGCTAAGTCTTTCCCTTGTTTTGTGCTAGGTTAACAAGGACCCGAAATGTCAACTATGGCGCAGGGTAGGAAATTCAGAGTCTTAGTTGCAATGCCAACTTTTATTGACATTTTCCCCCTTGTTTGTATAGATGGCCGAGGCAGCGCCCGACGGTCTCGACATTTAGTTAGTAGTAGTTTTTTTCATCTTTCAATTCATGTCCTTGAGCAGCCAAACCTAAGACTTCATCTACCCTGCCTCACAGTAATATTCACCACAAGGATGGAGGTCCAGATCCTCTCGACTCGAAACATAATTATCTCAACCGGCCTGATGTCAGAAAGGCCCTCAATGTTGCTAGCAACGCCCCTTGGGAGAGATGCTCCAACCATAAGAACGTGAGTTGGTCAATCCCCAAACACCCCTGCCCAACACATAAAACTAACCCTTCTGATCAATCCACTAGATTTTCCCCAATGGAGATTCTTCATCGGACCCTACAGATAAGGTTCTGCCGGATATCATTACCAAAGGCAAGAGGACCATTGTTGCGCACGGGGTGCTCGACGGTCGACTTCCACTTCTAGGAATGAGTGTTGGCCTACAGTGAGTCAGGCGAAGAAATTACCATTCTATCAATCTCCGAGAATGAAGGCTTCCCTTGAAATCCCATCGAAGGCTGACCGCTGCTGGTACTTCAGGGGCATGACATGGGCAGGAAAGCAAGGATTTCAAAAACCTATCGATGCGGATTTCATGGTTGCTGGCAAGCCACACGGAAAATTCGTCAGTCTTTCATTGTGAAAGCTCTTTCCAAGCAGCACCGGCATCTCCTAACCATCTTTCCTTCGGAACATCATTCTTCAGCGCACCGAGCGTGGTCTCACATTTGTTCAAGTTGCGCAAGCTGGACACATGATCCCACACGACGCACCCGAGGCCGCCTTGTCGATCTTCGAATACTTGCTTGGCAACCGCCCAAGCCTTTAATAACCTAAGTAAAAGAACCCCCTTGGCACGAGTGCTGCAAGCCAGGGCGTAGTTGGTCGAGGGCATCCTTTTCATTGGAGAGCCCCGGTACTTTTTAATCCTCCCATGAGGTCCCTTTTAATGTTCGGCCGTTTGTACATATACCATTAGTGTAAATATAAAGGAGACATGGTCAATTTCTTGACTCGGGACACTCATTATTTATTGATACTAGCCTTAAATGCGCAGTCCTTTTGACACATATTCTAGGTGGAGAACCCTTACCTCCCCCGGTGTGATTTGTCGATGGACTAGGTTAGAAACAAGATAGCTTTCGTTTTATTGTTACTCCTAATCTTGACGGATTTCATGTCCGCCATCGCTAAGACAAACCATCAATCAAGCCTTGAATTTTTCTAGACCCATATTCAATCGTTACACACTGTTAAAACAAAATAACCAAACAACTAGTTTGCTGCCTGGGTCACAAGCTCAGAAGTACAACCTGGGAGTATGTTATGAGAAAGAAAATAAACCTTTTTTTTATCATACAAATACCGCTTGAGTATGAGAGAGCCGACGATCCAAAATGGAGATAAACTTGCATCACACTCCAGAGAACCCTTCTTAGGATCATAACTGCTTGAAGTTAGGATTAGGTCCCAGACCCTAATTGTTTCTTTCTCAGTGTGACATGATCTAAAGAGAAGTAATATGTAGATCCAATGTGAGTGTATGAAATTTAGCTCATCATGATTCTCATTTCTTCAAAAACATGGGAATGTGTATTGCATTTTCTTTATATTCTCGTTTGTAGTCAAAAATAAGAATGATAAAAAAATGTTATATTTTACAATAATAATGGTCTTGTTTTACATTTAGTTATTCTTTTTTTTCATCCTCTTGAACTCATTGCATTTGTTCTCGAGGGATTTGATTGATACAAGAAATAAACATATTCAAATTCAAAGCAAAAGATTTTTGAGGACTCCTTGTCCCATCGATCTTGAGAGCCTCAGTTCTCAGATAAGCTTTTGAAAGCTTGTGGTCAACCTGGAGATATCTTTTTGATCCTGCTCTGTATGCGGGTTAAAGCTGTGGTAATTCGATTGGATCCGTTGGGCTTCTTCCAATCCAGTCATGTAAGGTCCATGGACGCAGGCTGTTTAGAGCACAGAAGAGAACACGAAATCATATATCAGCCAGGCAGCTTTTAAGCTTCAAAGAGTGAGAAAAATGTGTATATACCGTAGTGGTCTACTGAGCAATGCTCTCCAGCGAAGCCTAATTTACCGTCCCAGAGCGGTTTGCTCATCTCGATCAAGTCGAGTGGATTTGAGTCTTCATGATCTTCCAAGTCGCCATGGTCGTTAAATTTGGGCGAGGTTTTGGTCTTCATGAAGGAATATGAGCCTCTCGCGTATGGGTCGCTCCTCCAGCGAGTGACGAGACATTCGCTCGGAAGGTCCGGCTCCTCCACGCTTCTTTCCTCCACTGGCACTTGAGAGAGTAACTTTTCATGGATGAGTTCAGCCACATACTCATTCGAAAAGTGCTCGACTGCTTCCCCCGCTTCCGCTCCCAAATAGAAAACCAATACTGGCTCGCCAGTAATCGGCACGTAATTTTGAACCTTGACCCCTTTGGAGAAGAGCACAGAATATTCGGGCCTTGAGTTCGATTTACTCGTCCCACTCATGGTGGGAGATGGCCAATGGTTTTCAGGACTGGAAGATCTGGCTGATGTGATCGAGCTGTCGGCCGAGGGGTGACTTCCTTCACTCTCCGAGTCAGTTTCACTTTCCGCCTCGGCTGGCAAGAGGACGAACCAGCGGACACCGCCGGACCACCAGCAGGTGGGGTAGCGGACGACAACCTTGTTGAGCAGGCCGAAACCGGTCCTCGAGATTGCAAGTAATCGTCGCGGTGGAAGCGGGGGATCGAAGATGTCAGCTTTGGCCTGCAAGACGCCGAGAGGGAGCGTGCACACACAACAGCCGGCCTCAATCTCCTCTGGCTTCCCAGCAACTCTCACTCGTATTCGACCCGTCGGGATCTGGAGTTGAATGCGCTCACACTCAGAATCTAGCAGGATCCGTCCGCCCAATCGCTCAAACTCGCTCGCCATCTTGCGTATCAAACTGCTGTATGTGTTCGGTAACACCCCATCCTCGCCGGTATAGTCCTTCTCGAAGCCCCACCACTTCAGCGAGACTTGCTCAGAAGACGCGCCAGTCCATGAATCCAAGGAGTTGACGATTTCTTGTAAAACGTTTCGTTCGGCGGGTGTATGATGGTTTTTATATAGAGGGGAGGTGGGCGAGTCCAGTAAGAAGTCATATAGAGATTTCGGAGGCGGATTGTAAGGCAAACCAGACGAGGTGTGGGGATGAGGATGTGGTAAAAGCATCGATTGAGAAAATGTCCTGGCGGTGGAGAAGAAAGTCTTGTTGGCATGGTCATAGAGTTCCTTCGTCGTTTGATCGGATAATCTTTCGGCTGATTACAATACAAGAGATTGAACCAAATGTCAACCACACAAGTCCAGGATGGATGGGGGTAGACTCATTCCTCTCCCGAAAAAAGAAGGCTCCCGCAGACACGGTGGGCTTCACAAACCTTGGTAAGGATATATTTTGATTGGATCTGTCTCATTCTCGAAATAAAGAGGCTGCGTTCAATCAACCGTAAACAGATTAGTATGAGGATATCTTATCACCACCGATTATCAAGCGATGCATCAGAGGATCAAAGAGAAAAAGAAAGACTTGCTCAACTTCATCGAATTGTTTTAACAAATCAACCAAAGGGTTTCCGTCGACCCCATGTAGGAAGCTAACCCAGAAGAAGAAGAAGAAATTAGAGGAATGGAGATGGCTGTTGTTAGCTTTTAAGGAAACAGGTCTCCCAACAGATTAATATTATTTTCATCATGAACTGGTGCTGATCGACTCATCAGACGGGATAGCAATTATGAGAGAAGTATGGCTCGCTTAAATTTCGGGTCTCGATTTACCTAGCACCAAGATCGATCGAGCCATCGGCCCAATCATGGCTATCGATTCTCCCGCCTACCCTGTCTCTGGCTTCTACTATCGTCACCGGATGGCCGGCTCGCGTCAATTGAAGAGCCGCAGTCAGACCGGAAATTCCAGCACCGATAACAAGAACATCGATAGGAGAATGATTGGTGTGATTCTGTTGAGGGTTAGTCGGACCCATGGTACTTGTCTCCTCACGGACACCAAGACAATTGGCACGATTCGTTGCTCCATTATTGCAGACTTGATTAGTCTGGTTACACGAAGCCATGGTGATGAAGGACTATTGGAGTGTCTTTGAAGCTGAGGAAAGGTCAGAGGCAAACGACTCAGTTGGTCTGGAGTTTACTGAAGAAGAAGATGATGATGATGACAACTTTAAATAAGGAGACTATTTCTGGAGTTGGGGCTGTGTGAATTGTTGTCTCTCTGAGTGGTTCAAGGGGGGCTTTCTGAAGAAGAAAAATGTATGAATACTCTGTCCAGAGGAATAAGAGGTGGATCCAGTCTCTTTGGGGAATGTTAAATTCATAAAAGTTTGAGAAAGAAAGCTCAAGGTAGCCACAGCAGGATCAGAGAAAATAACCAAAAGTGTACTCAAACAATTCCCAACTGAAATGCCGAGGGTTATCCAAATTATTGAAAATTACTCAAAGTAAAAAAAAAGCACCTGCTTGCAATCAAATCGAACCATGAACTTGACTTGGCAAAGATTATGTCCTCTCTGGAGTGCCAAAGAATGGGCCCATTTCGTACCTACATGGTCGATTAAACATGCCCAAAGCCGACAACAGCACGTCCTACATAATCATCGAGGGTGCAGTGGGTTGAATATGGCTTGATGATCGAATAATGCCTTAAAAGACTTGGCACCTCCAAATACTATGTAGACGTCCTTTCCAGCATACTATAGATAGCTCCACATCGCCCGATGAGGTATTCTTAGCGAGCGCAAGATCAAATGTCATCTATCAATGTTGGATTATTTACATGCGAGATGAAGCCCCCAATACTTTGTGAAGGCTATTCAAACAAGATCCCTTATCGAGCAGATCGCACGAAAGTCTCAGAGCCAATAAAGGGAATTTCTTCATTGCCTTATCTTCGCGGTACAACCACACCCCAGAGTATATCTGTGTGGATCGTATTATGTACAAAGAGCATTGGCAGATCGAGGATAATCATGATGCCCTGTCAAGCTTCCGCAAAAGAGTAAATAAAAGCATCCGATGACCACATTGCACATGCAAGAGATCCCATCGTACCAAGTGACCTCACCTCCCTGACCTTGCACCGATCACTGCAAACCGTTGTATGTACCTGCGGAAGAAGGAATATTTTCGTATTTGTCCAGCACTTTGCCCTTATAGCGTCGTTTGCTTGGATCCAACCGCTGACTCGGACTTGAGGCGATGCGGGGATTGGGGGTAGGTGAGTCGTCATAAGTTATAGCGGATTCCATTCCGCACATGCGACGGGATTTGGTCAGGGGGAATGCTTAGATGAAGCAAGCCTGTTGTTTATTTGAAAATTTCTGAACTGATGTTAAGCACAACAAAATCCACCACAAATCTCACAAACGCGAAATAAACAAGCATATCCTACAATGATTCTAATGCATGTGTATTCTTCTCCACGCAGGAGCGCATCAGGTCATAATATTCTGAGAGGCTTGAGGTTTGCAGAATCCAGGAAAGGTCCCTCCAACTGTTCCTAATGAGATCCCTCCTCACTTACCATAAGTTGTGTGCACACATGGTGGGACAGGTTCTGGAAGTTGATGTCCAACATAATGTTACTAACTTTCTCCAGCCAAAAATCTGGTTTCGCCGTCCTCTCAAACTATTATTTGGCTTGAGGCGATCAAGCATCAATTCGTAGATGCAGTAAGATCCCATCAAGCTTTTCCTGGATTTGACTATGAAAATATTGGGGCCGGAAGAGTAATGAGAGGTTACTTGGAAAGTCGGCAACAATGATCCATTCATTCCTATGTGAGGAGATGGTTGAAAAAAAAGGACTGCGAAGATAAGAGTGGACTCACAAACATTGCCACAGGCGTGCAATGCACGAGAAAAAAAACTGGAGATTTATTATTATTATTTGAGCACATACTATTACACTTGAAGAGCTTGTCCGTCTTTTGCGACGATAATTGGACTCAGTAGGAGATGAAGCACCATCTGCATAAGCAGCAGTTTTGAAAGGAAGGACATTGAATGAAAGGAAGTATTGGTTTGCAAGCGTGGTGTGTTGGAGGATTCGAATGATGAGGTTACGAAATATGGCGAATAAAGAATGACTGATGGGAAAGCCGTCTTGCCACCAACAATAGTTCTTGCAATAAGCTTGCAGTGCTGTCAATAGTGGATTTTAACTTCTGAAACGTCATCATCCATCCAGCAATCCCTCTCATGAGAGAGCTCAGCGTCTCATCCGCCTATATATGGATTCATGGCCTTGCCTCTACCTCACAAGCCTCTGTGGCGGTAGGCCACTGTCAAAAGCAGAGCTTAATCCAACTCGATTAGGTCAAAGGAGCGGAGGCTACTCGCGCTGTTGTGTGGGGTGAAGGCGCCTAGGACGGGATTGATAACATCCCGCCGTATCTGTATCCCGCTGTCACCTTCCCAAACGGTGTTTTCCTCGGGACTGAACTCAAAGGCAGCACGCCCACACAACACCAGGAAGACGGCGCGCGACATTCCTCCAACGGCAACATTGAGTCGTCGCCGCCATTCAAGATTGCCAGGCCGCGGGTCCAAGCACGGCCGAACGTCCCTCATATCGGCGCAATGGGACAAATTCGCCAGTCCCACGCTGTATCGACCAAGCATGACGGTTTCATGGTTGCTGCTGCTTTATGCGGCCCGCCCTGCTGGGCCATACCGGACAAGGTACGCATCCATTGACTCTGGATGGCCGGCATGTGATGCTTTGATTAGCGTAGTCGGTGACCGTAGGACCCAGTGCCACTCCAAAAAGAATTACTCCTTGCCCAAAGGTATGACTAGGCCGGGTGATTATGAAGAGCCGGCAAGAAACGTTCCGAAGTTGGGGCCGGTTGTGCCTTGATGAATCTGCCAACAACAGCCTTCTTCTCCTGCCGACCAATCACAACTCGTCAAATGATCCATCGCCCGAAATTTCTTCATTTCATTGAGGCCTGACCCGCTAGTATCACTATTTAGTCGGTCTAGGAACAAATTCCCAGGCCATTGTGAATTCATCCAACTGGAAACACCAAACATTGCGCTGTTCAACCCAGTTTCAATCAAAATTACTCTCTATTTTCAGCCATCATGAGATGGCTTTCTCCGGTTCTAACTAATGGCCTAGCTACTGGAATGAGTAGCAGGTATTTTGTTAATTCCTGGGTGGAAAAGGTAGTGACTATCCCGGAGGTAATCACTATATAAAGACCTGAACTTCATCGCTACTTTCCCAATCATCCTTCATCCAATCATCCAATCATCTTCACAACTCAGCCTGCCAGCTCCAAAACAATCTTCAAAAGATCCTATTTCAGTTGCACCATCACCATCACCATCTTGATCCTCCCCAAAAAACTCCGAGCTTTCTCCATCAGTTCTCACACTTGGTCTCCCAGCGGCCTTTCTGATCCCGCAATCAAGTCCGATTTTTAATCAAACCCAACTCGATTCATCTCTGAATATGTTGTCCAACTCCCCAAAATCCACCTACTTTTCCTTCCCTTCCTACGAGAGCCACTTCATCAGTGAAGTCGAAGAGGCACCCACTCCAGTCACCCCAGCGCTCTTCCAAAAGGCACTTGAGCCACTGATTGATTGTTCTGCTGCAGCCTACCCCATCATCCAGCGCGGTTCTCACCTGGAAGCCGAAATCGAACTCATCCTTTACCTGAATGCCCCACGAAAACCGGCCTCGTTATTCTCAGAATCCTCGTCGTCAAACAGTTCCATCCTGTCTACTTCTTCTTCTATAATCAGATCCATCAAAAGCTTGTGGCGATTCACTTAAAAAAGGATCAAAAAAAAGAAAAACAAACAGTCTCATCACAAACGACAAACCTCCAACTCACAGTTACGGACGACGGTTCACGAGAGCTCGCAAGGCACCCAAAATCGCATGCTAGGATCATCAAAATGGAGTTCACACCAGGCATCACAACAAAATTGCAGCCTCTTTCAGCCTTTGAACATCCTTCCCTCGCCTCATCAAAGGCTGGCCCATCCAGTAAACACCAAAAAGCCGAGAAAGCCCGTTACTCCGAGATTCAAATCAAACCAACCAGAGGAACTCCCATTCCCTCACATTTCTATCTAATTCTCAATGGACAAACCGGTTTCATCGTAATCAGTACTCGTACAGTCTTTCCGATTCGAAGCATCAAGCAATCCGTCCCGAGCCAATCGTCCAAAACTTGAATGATTAGTTTATCTTTGTTCTGTATTATCTGTTCCTCTTGAATCATCCGTTCCTCCTGCATTATCAGTTTCCCTTGAATTATCAGTATCTCTTCAATCATCAGTTTCCCTCGATTATCAGTTTCTCTCAAATTATCAGTTTCTCTCAAATTATCAGTTTCTCTCAAATTATCATTTTCTCTCAAATTATCAGTTTCTCTCAAATTATCATTTTCTCTCAAATTATCAGTTTCTGTTTGTTCCGTATCACGAAGTAAATCCTATTTCACATTCAGTAAATCGAAATCTCCACATTCAGCAAATCAAAATCTCTCCATATCTGTACCACCTTTTTTTCAACTCATCAAATTGCCCTTATCAGATCATAAAGAAGTTAAAGTCATCAGTGTCTGTTTCACATGCTATAGGCGCTTATCTATTTTTACCTTATCTGTTTCATTTCATTCTACTCATCCCCCTCTTTTAATATTTATGTCGTGGTCTTTGTTGTTTTTGTGATCTTTTCAGTCCTGAATAATCCATCAATAAAATACAAATCTTTTCATAGTTTGAAATGGAATCCATTTTCCTGCAAAAATTGAAAGTGTATGTAAAAAGTTGATTCATAAATTGCTATAAAAGGAGATAGTTCAAAAAAGGGATTGTAAAGATAGAGTGGACTCACAAGCATCGCCATGGGCGTGCAACACGCGAGACAAACTGGAAGGGTTGTTTTAATTTGAGAAGAACATGCCCGTTGTTTGCTGCAGTGATTGGATTTATTAGGGGCTGGAGGACATATTGGTATGCCAGCATGGTCTGTTGGAGGATTTGGTCAGAGTGAATGATGAGATTAAGAATGGCAAATAGAGAATGACTGATGGTAAAGCCGGCTTGCCACCAACAGTAGTTCTTGCAATAAGCTTTTAGTGCTGTCAAATTCAATAGCAAAGTTGAACTTCTGAAACACTATCATTCATCCAGCTATCCCTCTCATCAAAGAGCTCATGGTCTTATTCGCGATGGTAAATATGGCCTTGCCTTTATGTTACAAGGCTCTGTGGCAAAAGCAGAGCTTAATCCAGCTCGATTAGTTCAGAGGATCAGAAGCCACTCGTGCTGTTGTGTGGGATGAAGGCGGCTGGGATGGAATCGATATGATCCTATCGCCCGTCGCATGTGTATGCGCGACCGACGATGACACCTGCAACCTGCCCAAACGCCGGTTTCCTGGGGACTGAACTGAAAGGCAGCACCCCCTCACCGGGAAGACGGCGCGCGACATCTCTGTGTACCAGTCCTCCGCCGACGGCAACATTGATTCGTTGCCACCAGTCAGGGTTGCGACTTGCTGAGCTGCGTTTCCAAGCACGGCCGAAAGTCGCGTTATGAGGTCGGCGCAATGGGCCATATTTGCCAGTCCGATGCTGTATCAACGACTTAACCATGGCGGCTTAATGGTCGCAGCTTCTTTACATTAAAGAACCTGAAATCTTATGGTTTCCAAACCAGAGAGTTAGGACACGATCAAAGTGAACTAACGACGAGAGCGAAGAGCAAGCGAACCTTATGGTTTCCAAACCAGAGAGTTAGGACACGATCAAAGTGAACTAACGACGAGAGCGAAGAGCAAGCGAACCTGAGTCGAGCGAGCAGAAAGCAGAAGAAGCGGAGTGAGACACAATGGAGAGAAACGACTAGAGAAATTGAATCTATTTCATTTCTAACCTTATGGTTTCCAAACCAGAGAGTTAGGACACGATCAAAGTGAACTAACGACGAGAGCGAAGAGCAAGCGAACCTGAAAAAGAAATGAACATGAGAATGAGAACAACAGAGAATGAGAAGAGAGAAAGAGATGGAACAGACCTGAGTCGAGCGAGCAGAAAGCAGAAGAAGCGGAGTGAGACACAATGGAGAGAAACGACTAGAGAAATCGAATGAGAGAAATAGAAACACAATGAGAAAAAGTGAGGAACTATTTAAGCATTCGATACAGAGGATCTAGGTTTCGAACCTTGTGTATCTCACTGGCTTGCTTGGCCGCAGTTCCGCAACGGGATGAGGATTACACCTCGGACTGCAAGTTCAACATCCCCCCTCATCCTCAACCCGTGAGGTTGATCCCTTCAACACATGCCATGTGCTTGACCTTGCATAGAGATTTGGTCAGGAAGTCCGCCAGGTTTGATTGAGTAGAAATGTAGTGTGTCGAAATGAGATTGTTGGTGATTTGCTCCCGGATCCAATGTAGGTGTACACGAAAGTGTTTTGTCCTATCATGAAAAACTGTATTCTTTGCGATAGCAATAGCTGCCTGATTGTCACACAGAACAGTGATCGGACCTTGATGGGGAATGTCCAGAGAGATCAAAAGCCTTCTCATCCAGATTGCTTCACGACCACCCTCGTAGAGCGCAGTGTATTCGGCTTCTGTTGTTGACGAGGATACTGAAGGGTTTTTCTTTGATTTCCAGGAAACAATACTATCGCCCAGCATTACTAGATAAGAGAAGTACGAGTAGGAGTTGATTTTGTCGTTTGCATGGTCTGCATCGACGTAAATCTTCACCGGAGCAATTGAGTTACCAAGAGTTAGACCCCTGGTTTTAGATCCGTTGAGATACCGCAGAAGATGAACACAGGCGGACCAATGTTTCACGCCGGGGTTCTCGAGGTATTGAGAGAGTTGAGACATGGAGAACGCAATGTCGGGTCGAGTTGAGACTGCAAGATAGTTGAGTAACCCAATGACTCGTCGATAGTTTATACCGAGCTTGAGAAATTCTGAGTGTTCTTGCGGAGTAGCTGGAACAAGTCTGGTGTTGGGAACGAAAGGCGTCACGACCGTTCTACAGTCGGTCATGCCATACGATGAGAGGATTTTGCTGGTGTAGTTGCTTTGAGAAAGGTGGATGGAAGAGTCGGTTCTTTGAATTTTCATTCCAAGTAAGTGTTTCAAGGGACCAAGGTCGTCCATGAGATATCTTGAGGAGATCAATTTTTTGAACCGGTTGACGTCTTTACTGACGATGACCATGTCGTCCACGTAAACATGAACCCAGCACTTCCAATCCACATCGTTGGACACGAAAAGACAAGGATCAGCATTTGATGGCAAGAAGTTGATGGATTTGAAGAATGACGAAAGCTCGTGATGCCAGACTCTCGGCGCTTGTTTTAGACCGTAGATAGATTTTAGCAGCAGGAGACATTTCCCCTTTGGGACATTAAGACCCGCAGGAGGGCGAAGATAAATGGTTTCATCGAGCTTTCCGTTCAGGAATGCGTTTTTAACATCCATTTGATGAACATCAAGACCACAAGCAACTCCCATTGACAACAGAGAACGAAGAGCGGTCGGTCGGCCTGTCGGGGCGTATGTCTCAGCGTAGTTGAGTCCCTCCACTTGGAAGTTCCCCGCGGCACATAGACGAGCCTTATACTTTGAGAGATTGCCGTCTTCATCGAATTTCTTACGAAATATCCAGACAGTGTTCAAGAGTTCCACGCCGGCAGGAATGTCGACAACTTTCCACACACCCAACCTCTCCATAGCAGAAAGTTCGGCCCCAATAGCTTCCACCCAGCCAGCAGAGTTCGGATCCTTCATCGCTTGAGAATAGGTCTTAGGCGCCTCTGATGTCTGATCGAAGAATTGAGCCCCAGCAAGGAAACATTGGACGTGAAAGTCGAAATCATTATCCGCAATGGCCACATGAGCACGCCTTTTAGTGGTGATGATGTTTGATGGGTCGATGTCGGCGGTGATGTCCTTGGGCGCCTTTTGGTTGATTGGTTGGAGTACTACATCATAGCCAGGACGAGAATTATTGGAGTTTGATTGAGTTTCAGGGTTTGCCAATGAGGGAGAGTTGGATTCTTCCATTGGTTGATCAGGCAAAGCGTTGTCTTCATTGCCCGTCAAGAGACGATGAACTTCCTCATCTGATTCTTCCGAGTCGGATAGATGAACAATTTCTGGATGGGAAATCGATTGTGAATCGTCTTCGACTTCAAATGTTTCAGAGAGAAGAGGTAGTGGTGATTGTAGGCCAGCTGGATCGAACGTGGAGATTCCTGGATAAAGAGTCTCGTCAAAATTGACATCATGACTCAACTCCACTCGTTCATCCTCAGTGAGAATGCGCCAGTTATGCATTCCCAGCTGGTACCCAACAAGAATACCCTTTTTAGCCGTATCCGAGAATTTGGCCGATCTCTTCGTCCCCGGTAGATTGATGTAGGCCCGACATCCAAATGTCCTCAACCGAGAGTAATCGAACGGCCGATTGAACCAGAGTTCATAGGCAGAGACCCATTGTTTCTTGCGAGTTGGAGTGACATTTTCCAGGAAGACAGCTGTTTCCACAGCGTGACCCCAAAAAATGTGAGACAGCTGAGCTTGTTTGAGAAGAGCCCTTGCTTTCTCAGTGGTTGTCCGATTACCCCGTTCAGCCACAGGATTTTGCTGGGGGGTATAGGGAGCCGTGATGTGAGAGGTCACTCCTTTAGATTTCAGAAACAATTTGAATTCGTTGGAGTTGAATTCACCACCACCATCGGTAGTGATGTTTTTGATCGGGCGAGAATGTAAAGTTGTGACAAGATTATAGAATTGCTCAAAGTAATAGAACGCTTCTGACTTCTTCTTGAGGAGATAAACAAATTTATAAGACGAAAACTGATCGGTGATTTTAAAATAGTACTCGTAACCATCTACAGTTGGAGGATTAATTCGACCGCTTAGATCAAAATGAATGAATTCAAGACAATGAGTGGAAATGGGAAGGGAGCCAGTATATGGAAGCCGGTGCGATTTGGATAAGGAACACGCCTCGCATTCTAGCTTGAATTCCGGCAACCCGTACATCTTTTTCAGGGATTCTTTGCTTGGATGCCCCGCTCTCCTGTGCAGAAGTTCAATGTCAGGAGCTGATTTGGTGGATAGCTTCGTCGAGGAAAAGGACTTGCCTTTGATGATCTCGAGATTGATGGTGAAGACATCTTGACTATTGAGATTGACCTTGAAGAGGGTTTCGCCTTCGTTGACCAGGTTAGCGGTTAACGGTCCAGTCCGTACTCTGTCACATCCTCGTCTGAACAGCCTGCCTTCGGAGATCAAATTGCCGACCAGTTGAGGAACGTGAAGGCATTCGAGTTTGAGAGGTTGGCCAGATTCAGTCTTGACATAGACATTTCCGATTCCTGGGCACATAGTCGTTTTGCCATCGGCCAGCTCAATCTTGCACTTGGAATTGGTGGAGTAAGTCGAAAAAGCATCACGATCCGAGATCATATGATGAGAAGCTCCGCTATCGAGGTAGGCGGTGTTTGGAGCTAGCTTAACCGAAAAGGCCTTCTTGATGGTGTGCCAGGCCACGCTCGAGACAGATGAGTCGTCATCTTCGGCTTGAGCTTTCTTTGCCCTGGCTTGAGATTTAGCGCGACGCTTTTCCATTCTAGCTCTTTGTTCGGGATACACTTGAAAACATCGTCGTTCAGGATGGTTGGCGTTAGGATTGTGCTTCCCGTCAGAACATTGTTCGTCGGAAGATCCAGTGGGATGGGAGATGGTTTTTAAAGCCAATTCTTCAGTTTTGATTTTAACAGTTGAGTCGTCCAAGCGTCGATTGTCAAGGAGTTGTTGTAGTTTTTCAATCTTGAGAGGTCGATTTTGGATGAGAACTTCACGAGTGTGTATCAAACTTGAGGGTATTTTCTCAAGAACGTTTTCACAGAAGAGATTTTCATGAATCTCAAAATCTTTGGGAATTCTGATGCGAAGACCAACGGAGTTGAGACGACTTATGTGAGTGGTAAGGTCGACGATGAATGCTTCGATGTCCGTCCCTTTGAACTTGAATGATAAGAAGTCATTGTATACTTTAGCTTGGTTGGAGATTGCATTGGACTGATAATGTCCTTCAAGTTTAAGCCACATTGCGCGAGGATCGTCTTTGGTGTCGGAGGTTTTAAATTTTTGATAGTTCGTAATGCCCATAAACTGTTGTAGCACACCGGAAGCTTTCATCTTTCTGGTGTTGAATGACTTGAGTTCGGCGGCATCAGTAGGGTTTGTTTCTTTCGTCGAAATGAAGGAGTACAGATCGTGCTGCTTCATATATCCTTCGATCAGCATACTCCACAGGTCCCAATTGAAGTTGGACAAGGTGGGTATGGCAGGATTCGAAGTTTTATCGTTCATGATCGGTCAATGCAGGAATTCGGTTAAAATGAGATGGCAGTTATTGCGCCTCTGGGCTCATAACCTAAAGAACCTGAAATCTTATGGTTTCCAAACCAGAGAGTTAGGACACGATCAAAGTGAACTAACGACGAGAGCGAAGAGCAAGCGAACCTTATGGTTTCCAAACCAGAGAGTTAGGACACGATCAAAGTGAACTAACAACGAGAGCGAAGAGCAAGCGAACCTGAGTCAAGCGAGCAGAAAGCAGAAGAAGCGGAGTGAGACACAATGGAGAGAAACGACTAGAGAAATCGAATCTATTTCATTTCTAACCTTATGGTTTCCAAACCAGAGAGTTAGGACACGATCAAAGTGAACTAACGACGAGAGCGAAGAGCAAGCGAACCTGAAAAAGAAATGAACATGAGAATGAGAACAACAGAGAATGAGAAGAGAGAAAGAGATGGAACAGACCTGAGTCGACGAGCAGAAGCAGAGAGCGAGTGAGCACATGGAGAGAACGACTAGAGAATCGAATGAGAGAAATAGAAACACAATGAGAAAAGTGAGGACTATTTAGCATTCGATACAGAGATCTAGGTTTCGACCTTGTGTATCTCACTGGCTTGCTTGGCCGCAGTTCGCAACGGGATGAGGATTACACTCGGACTGCAAGTTCAACATACATGCGGCCAGCCTCTGGGTCTCACCGGACAAGGTGCAAATCCATTGACTCTGGATGGCTGGCACGTGGTGCTTTGATTAGCGCAGTCTGTGACCGTAGAACACAAACAATCATTCCTTGCCAGAAGGTTAGGCTGGGCCGGGTGATTGTGAAGAGCCGGCAAGGAAAGAAGTTGTGGCCGGGCCTGTGCTTTGATGTGCCAGATTGGCAACAACAGCCTTCTTCTTCTGCCGACCAATCACAAATCGTCAGATGATCCATCGGCCGAAATTTCTTCATTCCAATGAGGCCTGACCCGCTAGGAACGATATTCAGTCGGTCTAGGAACAAATTCCCAGGCCATTGTGACTTGATCCAGCTAGAAACACCAAATATCGTGCTGTTATACCCAGTTTCAATCAAAATTACTCTCTATTATCAGCCATCTTGACATGGCCTTCTCCGGTTCCAACTAATGGCCTAGCTACTGGGATGAGTAGCGGATATTCTGATAATTCCTGGGTGGAAAAGGCAGTGACTATCCCGGGGGTAATCACTATATAAGGACCTGAACTCCCTCGGTACTATTCCAATCATCCTTCATCCAACCATCTTCACAACTCAGCCTGCCAGCTCCAAAACAATCCTCAAAAGATCCAATTTTGATTGCGCCATCACCATCACCATCTTGATCCTCCCCAAAAACTCCGAGCTTACTCCATCAGTTTCCACACTTGGTCCTTCATCACTAAACAACACAACCCACCCAGCAGCCTTTCTGATCTCGCAACCAAGCCTGACTTTCAACCAAACCCAACTCGATTCACCTCTGAATATGTTGTCCAACTCCCCAAAAACCACCTACTTTTCCTTCCCTTCCTACGAGAGTCACTTCATCAGTGAAGTGGAAGAGGCACCCACTCCAGTCACCCCAGCACTCTCCCAAAAGGCACTTGAGCCACTGATTGATTGTTCTGCTGCAGCCTACCCCATCATCCAGCGCGGTTCTCACCTGGAAGCCGAAATCGAACTCATCCTTTACCTGAATGCCCCAAGGAAACCGGCCTCGTTATTCTCAGAATCCTCGTCATCCAACAGTTCCATTCTTTCTACTTCTTCTTCGATAATCAGATCCATCAGAAGCTTGTGGCGATTCACTTAAAAAGGATCAGAAACAATGAAAAAACAAACAGTCTTATCATAAACATCAAACCCTCCGACTCACAGTTATGGACGGTTCACGAGAGCTCGCAAGGTACCCAAACTCGCCTGCCAGGCTCATCTGAATGGAGTTCACACCAGGAATCGCAACAAAATCAGCCTTCGAACATCCTTCCCTCGCCTCATCAAAGCCTGGCCCATCCAGCAAACACTCAAAGCCGAAAAAAGCCCGTCACTCCGAGATTCAAATCAAACCAACCAGAGGAAGTCTCATTCCCTCACATTTCTATCTAATTCTCAATGGACATACCGGTTTAATCGGACTCAGTAGCCGCACAGTCTTTCCAATTCGAAGCATCAAGCAATCCGTCCCGAGCCAATCATCCAAAACTTGAATGATTAGTTTATCTTTGTTCTGTCTTATCTGTTCCACTTGAATTATAAGTTCCTCCTGCATTATCAGTTTCCCTTGAATTATCAGTTCCTCTTCAATTCTCAGTTTCTCTTCCTTTATCAGTTTCTCTCCAATTATCAGTTTCTCTTGAATTATCATTCCGTATTACAAAGTAAATCCTCTCTCACATTCAGCAAATCAACACCTCTTCCAAATATCTGTACTGCAATTTTCTTAACCCATAAAATCCACCTTACCAAATCATCAAAATCAATTCACCAGTGTCTGTTTTAATTGCCATAGGCATTCTATCTGTTTTCACTCCATTTCTTTAGCTTCATCTCTCTCTCTCTCTCTCTCTCTCTCTCTCTCTCTCTCTCTCTCTCTCTCTCTCAATCTCTATCTTGTATTAGTGGTTAGTTTTGTGATCTTCTCAGTCCTAATAAATTCATCAATAAATTAATCTCTTTTTTCATGTACCGTGCGGTGTTGAAACCAAGACATCAAAGCCCCTGGTGCTCTTGTGTGGGTTGCACCGTGAAGCTGCCTTGGAGACAAAATTGTGTCGTACCTCCTTATGGCCAGTGCTGCTGCCTGTCCAAACCCCGTTTTTTTTCACAGGACCAAATCACACCCCCTCGAGGACGGCACGTGTTGAGTCTTTGTTCACTAGGTTGGGATTCAGTCACATGTTCAAATATGCATCCTTCCATGCAACATCTGTTTGAAATCAGGTGAATTTCTTATTATGCAATCCAAAGGTATCATACTATAAACAGATGGACGTGCCATTACCATACGCTGCCAAAACATTAGATCCAGCATGAGACAGGATGTGATGTGGTTGTTAAATCAGACGGATTTAGAAACAAAAAAGGAAGATTGAATTGTCTATATTTTCTTTGAAAATAAAACCGGAAGGCTGTACTACTTTCAGTCTCATGTATGACTAAATTACTACTACTGATGGATGACTTTTTAGTATCATGGATACAAGCGCTAGATCAAATCAGGTAGGTAAGGCAAATTATGACTAGACCAAAGACTTGCTTTTTTCCGTGACCAGCTAGTCTGGAGAGAAATCGAAAGAAAGCAAAATGGAAAAGGAAAAGGAAAAGAAAAGAGGGGAGGTTTTGTCGGGGTCCACGCTTGGAAGTTTTGCGGGAAACCGATATTTCAAGGGGTAGGGCGCTTGCCGAGTAGGTACTCAAAGATAGACAGAGCGGCTTGCCCTTGGTCATGCGGCATGAAACTGCCGCTCTGTGCTACTTCCACAAATGTTAAGCCACGTTCGGTGTGCTGATTGATGCAAGAAAGAGGCTCATGATCAGCTCGAGACATCAGAGAAATTTACATCACACAATGATCTCTAGAATACTGACGTATCTGCCGCCGTATTTGCCGCCGACCATGAATTTTGAATTAACGGATTGTTGAAAGCCTTGTTTACCACCCCATGTCATACTCCTAATGAGAGAATCCAAACAAATACAATTTATCAAGATTTTAGTCCAAGGTTCATTGAGCTTTTTGTGTTTTTTTTTGGGGGGGGGGGGTCAACATCAATCAGGCGACTTGACGCACTGTATTGCCAGCTTCATTCCATCAACTGGAAGGGTACCGTCTAATAAACCGTGTGCAATGACGGTTCTCTTGCTATGGTTGATAACATTAGGTAAGACCTTCAAAGTTGGAGGTGGAGATGCGTCCCCATTTGGAAATACCTATAGAAGAATGGATTCATCAAAAAAAAAAATGCCTTCTGATCATTTTTGTTTGCCTGAAAAGACTTACTTTGTTGAAGTCACCGCAGGAAGCCCAGCGTCGAGCTCCATCAACGTTGAAAGCACTTTGGACGTCTGCCCGTCCGGGATAAACAAATTTGGTGAAGTTGGGGTCTGCCATGCCGGGCTTATCATGGATATTGCTGTTCACGTTTTGAGAACCGAAAGTCAGCAAGAAGAAACTGCCCAGAAGATTTATAAATAATGAATCTACAGAGGAAAAAATCAATACCCAAGATTCATGTCGGGAGAGCTTCCTTGAAACATCTGATGAGAAAGATAAAAGCATGAGATTTTGCGCTGGAGCGGTGATATAATAAATATGAAGTATCTACCTCCATGAAGATCATGCACTGCTCTCTGAAATCTGGGGCATGGGCTGGATCTACAGCCTAATGATTCAAAATGTTAGAAGTCAAGTCGGTCGAGTCCATCGAATCTCTGAAGTTGCACGTACCTTGGTCACCTGCGGGAAGACGCCCCGCGGGGGAAACGTTAAATGCTGAATGAGGGGTAGAAAGTCTTCGTGTCAGATCGAGAGGCGATGTGTACAAGCGAGATCGGAGAGACGCAAACCTGGGTCATATACTGAGAAAATCCGCATGCATTGTCGGTTGCTTGCAAATGATTTAATTGGGCGGGAGTAAACTTGAACGCATCGTTGTTCTGTTTTTTTTTTTTCAAAATGTAATGAGCATCTGTTTGAACGATGAGTGGATATAAGGAGACTCACTTTGGTCACGTAGCTCGCGATCGGGATGTGCTGTTGGTAATCGGGACTGAGCATCAAGTTGGAGTGAGTTATGAGAATTTTTGTAGTCTACCCAGTGATCTGAATAAAAGTTTCCTCACGTGGATATGAATGCGTTAATCAACAATATTCCTTGTAACTTCAGTGCCAACTTGGATTGCAAGGCATAAATCTTGTCGGCGGCATAGCTTATGTAGGTTCCGGAGTAAGCGTGTCCAGCCACTAGATTCGCAACTCGGAGTCAACCTCGTGTTTGATTCATGAGAAGGAAAGATGTTGCTTACTGTACAAGTTGAGCCCGTTCATTTCCGGAAAGACCTGAACGAGAACACATTCATAAACATCAGATGATGGAGGCCGAGAGATAACAAAGGATCGAAAGGAAAGCTTACCTTCAGAAAGGCGGTCAGGAAGTCAAAAACAAGACCACCGATGTCCTCCGAGCCTCTTTGAGTAGCTTGTCCACGAGTAAAACCAATATTGAGCGGAATGTCCAGGTATAGCATATTAGAAGAGCGGGTCCAGGAGCTGGTGAAGCGAATCAAATCAGCTCGTTAGAGGTGGCCGGGTGAGGCTATGTTCAGAAGACCGCCACTCACTTTGGGTTTTTGGTAGGCACTCGGCCCGGATTCATCGTGATCTTGGAAAACGAAGAACGATCAGCCTTTCGGGTCCTTTACCCTTCGCTAAAAATCGATCCGGTGGAAGTCAATTGTATGCTCACCGGTCCATTTCCTTGGAAGGCACCAACGAGACCACTACAAGCGTCGCCGTTGACCCATATGGTTAAGTCTTTACTCCCGCCGGCATCGTCCGCAGGAACCAACCAAAAGAACATCTGAGAGACCTGTCTGGGATTGACCGAGACATTCAAGCGTCCAGCATAACTGTGTGAAGTTGGGGAATTTCGGAATGAGGAACGGGTTAAGACATGGGCTCAATACTTCTGAAATACCCTCTGCAATCAAAACTTTGGCCAACCTTTGTTGAATGGGGAACGGTACCCCAGGCAAGCGCGGAGGCACGACAAATTGGCGAGCCAGTGGTGATTTGAAGTTGACAGAACTAGCTGCATTCGGTGGACTGGCAGTGGAAGGTTTACGATTCGTTGGAGGGGGAGTTACAGCTCCAAGTTCGACAAGGAAAACACTTAGGAGTAAGAAAAAGAAGGAGAGTTTGGTTTGAGTAGAATAGTCCATTGTTGTTACTGATACTAGAAATTTACACTTGAATATGTGAACGGTGTGGATTAGTCTTTTTCGCCGGCTGCCAGTCCACAAGGGCTATATAATGCACTCTCCCCATGGATGCAACTCATCTTGGGATCGTGAACACGCATCAAGATACAGCAAACTTCTAACCCAAAATCACGACCATCTTCCGCCGAGAAAAGGCGATTGAACAGGGACAGTGACACGATACATACATATTGTACACGCGTGATGCCGCCAAAAAAAAATGCCAAGGCTTCGTTGATGTGATGGTTGGCATACACATCAAAGGGTTCCGACTACCTACGGGCCAGGCTTAACCCCAGTGGTACTGTCATGAGCTGTCGTCAGTCACCGTTATCCTCAACTGTCTTTGGGTCGGGCGAATACCGAGTATGTACATATAAACGGGTGAATAGGTTTGTTGATAGGGAACTCAGAAATGTTTGGAAATGGGCATATGCTGAATGTTACCAGCTATGACATTATTCTACCCGGTAGGAGTGGCCGGCTTTGTATCTTATTCCAAGGGTCCAAAAAGGCTTCAGAATCTGTGAATTTTCAGAAAAAATTGAAGCAGTTAGCTTGTCATGGAAGTCAACATCATGAAAGAGTAATTTTGAGACACAAAGCAAATCATCTATTCTTCGAAACAACTCTTATTAAAAATCTTTAAATCGTTCCCACTTCTCTTATACATGCCAAGGTCGATCGATTGTATCTTGGCTCAAATATGCCTTTAAAGCTTACAATACGGATTCTGTCGTACCCTTATCTGATAAGGGGGTGGAGAGCTGTGGAGAGGTATGCGCCACATCGTGCCACATCACCCTGTGTCAGCGGTCACATCTGTCTGCGATTTCAACAGCCTTGCGCGTTTATGTAATTGCAGGTGCAGCAACTTTTAAGAGCCTTGCGCGTGTTCTTGCAGCATGATTCAACAAGATTAATTTTTCCGGAAACGCAATGGGATGTTGGAGCAGTCCACATGAACCCGGCGAGCGCCTCCTATAAGTCCTGGACACGTGCTCTCTCGGCGTAGAGTTTAACACGTAGTCCGGCGGCGAGATAATCCCTCCGGTAGATCATCCAGCCGGCTCACCGCGCCAACGTCGTCCTGGGGCTGGAGGGCGAGAGGCATCTGCACTCTGTCGGGATCCGCGATCCGTGGTGGCTGTGTCGGAACAAGATTATCCAAGAAACGTGGCGGCGGAGCTCTTGATGTTTGAAAGCTGAACAGTTAAAACAGCTTGCCTCCTCAGCCAGCTTCAAGTTGACCACACCGGCAAGATCAGCTCGATCAAGAGTACCCGGCTTGGTTGGACACTCACTGAACAGTCATTTGTCCGACGAGAGCATGTGACAGGCCCGGTGAGCGGCCGACTCGATAGGGGATGTTTCCTCCGAGTCCGACGGTGCGGCATATCCATTCGTTGTGATCCAAAGGCACCTAGCCGGTGCACTCCGACTTTCGTTGTTGCCAACCTGGATCCATCAACCAGCTCGTCTAGGGAATGCGCCACCTGGAAGATCGTACAAAAACACCTTCTCACTCAATCATGTACCTCCACAGCCTGTGTCTGTACCGCCGTCGGACGGTGTACTTAAAAACCCCTCACCGACCACCAACCTATAACTGGATCAGGCCAGCCAACACATTTCCAGAACTGATCCTTCAACTCGCTTATTGAGCTTCCCTACAAACCATTTCGTCTCTTGTCTGCCGCTATCTTACCTATTTACATACCTTGATAAAGATGATGATGTCGATAGGCCTTCCAATCTTACTACTAGTTCTCCTCACAGCCGCCTCGATTCATGGCTGTCCAACCGATACGCATGCGGTCTGCTTTTCACCAAATGGGTATAAGAACACAGACCCCAGCATAAACTATGTTGAAGGTAAGCATCGATTGCCAGCTACTCACTGAACCATCAGAATCAAATGGTGCTCACTGCACATGCAAATCTCTTAATGTTGCCTGTCCTTCGATCCAACAGCCAAGTTTCCACCCCGAAACAAAGGCTGTAACATATACTTGCACATCGACCATGCCGTGGGGCCTGATCGTAAATTTTGGCGCACCCGATGCTGTAAAAAAGAGGCACTTGACAAAATCAGAGTGAGCACACTTGTTTCTTTGGTTTTCTTTTTAACTGTAAATTGATAATGTCTACCGATCGAGGGAACTGACCGTACATCTTTCAATCATCTCATCTGGAAATCAGCCTCCCCCTCCGTACAACACCCAAGGCACCTTTCGCATCCCTAAGGCGACTTTGGTCCATGGTGATCTCGACAGCCCACCTCCAAGGGGTAGTCAAGATTGTTTTTAAAAAAGCATCGGCTCTAGATTTACAGATTACATAGATCTCTGGAAGCTGGACATTTCTGTCTTTTTTTGTTGTTGTTGTACTACATTTTTCCAATGCTGTCCATTGTTGGACCGAATCTCGTGCCATTTCAACGTGCAAGATTGTGAATATTTCGCTCCAAAATGTGTGCAAACACGAGTTTGTTTTGCAACCATACCCCATATTATCTCTGCAGTCTCTCCAAATTCGAGACCTGTGCCTTAATTTCCAGAATGGAATCAGACCGGTCTGGAACCCAGGGATGGCTATGATGAGCAGCTTGAGAAGAGCGCGGTTTCTGAATTTGGGCCAACTCCCGGCGGGCTCGCCGCTAGCGAGGTCCCAAGTCAGATCATCACTGGGATAATAGGATGTGATTTTACAGGGCGATAGTTACACACGTGATCTGAAATTAGGTATTTCTCTGTTTGGTCTTCTAAAATTGACACTTTTTTTTGTGGTTTCAGTTCGTGTGGATTCATTTATGAAGAGGACATGCATCCTGTAGTTAAAAAACAGGAAGGGATAAAAGCAAGAAAAAAAAAGGCAGTTGATGCCTAGGCACACTTTAGAGGGCAACAACATTTGTAGAGGGAGGAGATCGAAGCTTTGTGTGCCGTGGTAGAATTGACCGGCTTGGGGAGTGACAAATGACTCACCGGCCGGCTTCGGGAGTCTTTGAGAAGGACCGAGCTCGTTGAGCCTCAACTAAACCAGCCGCGTCTTGATCATTATTGACAGTGAAGACCCCCACGAGGTGTCTGATGACCTCATTGGGATCGATGGTTTTTGGACCAGCAATCGGACGCACGATATGTAGGTTTCTGTCTTCATCATGTCGGACTAAAGAAGGCAAAGCCACACCGGAGCACGCCCGGATTAAAACAAAGGCAAAGTCATCTCCATCAATACATTAACCAATATGTACATTTTAAGATGCGCTTGGGTGTTACTTTGAAGGAAATCCGAAAGATTCTACAGCAGACACTTCTGATGAGGGTGCGGGTGGACAAAAGGTTTTGTTGCCAACCATGAGGATCGGTCATTCGGATCGAATATGTAACTTCCTGATACAATATAATTTGAAGCGTAACAAAACCGAAGTTATGACCACCTTGGAAGACTAGGGGAGATGCGGGCCAGACTCAAAGTCAGAGGCAGAAAGCAAGGCGAAAGACTGGTTATCCGTCCACGATGAACTATTGCAGATGGACTGGGTGTTCGAATGACGGAGAGGAGGGTCTATGTTGGAATCGCGAAGGCCAAGATGATTGATTAACTCATTTTACAGGGTCTGTTGACCATCGTGGACTGGGGGGTCCTTTGTAGTGGTGAGGTACAAGATAATTTGGAAGACGGCCTGAGCTCGGGCCGAGCGCTGACGAGTGATGATGTCAGGAGGGGGGAGCCGTTCAAGGCCAGTGCGGTCAAGTTGATGTTTAGTGCTCTCTGGGGTTGCAGGCAATATAAAGTGGGATGTAAAGGGCAATCCGATCGAATCTTCCAGCAGCTGAAAATCATCCATCTCCACTCAATTTGCAATTCGATTTCACTCGATCATATCACAGTCACCGTCCTTTAACTGGCTTACAAATAGTACTGCGACGCTCCTCATCATCAGCCAACCTCCAACAACTTCACCAATCGAGAATCTTGATTAGTACCCTTTCAGAAAGAAAAAAAACAAAACATCAAAAAAAACACCGCGCCCCTTCACACACCTCTTCTCATAGTGCAGAACATGTCCGACTCCACCCGAGCTCCCGTTCTTACTCCCACCCTCCTTCCCGCCGGTCTGACCCCACACGTCCAGGCTGAGCAACATTCCCAATCCGATGATTTCAGTCCCTTGAAGCAGTACAACGGTCAGTCACATTAACAGACGAGCACCGCATGACCAATTACAAAAGGCTGACTAATCACCAATTCCTTCCTTCTCCGCTTCCATCTGACTCTTAATACCCTCAATTAATTACTGGGGAATCTCTACTATCGGCTCACATCGGTCACCCTTTCGGATCTCCGCTTATATAATAATAATCTCATGGGCATTGGAAAACAACCATCAGGGGCGATCTACAAATGGACCCAGCAGCTCCTGCAGCACGCCCAACGGGCTAACCCCGAGATGGCCGACAAGTCCTCCGTCACCAAGCAAGACAAATCCGATACCATCACCACCAACCCGTCGTCCAACAAGTTCGCTTGAGGCTACCGGCAAGCCAAGGACCCCTCAAAACATTGTCCCCCTCACTTTTTCTCAAGTCATCTAGTCCTCGTCAAAACAAGCTAGCTAGATTACCCAGCATAGAGCACCTTTCCTATTCTTCCTTACGTATCATCACTTCCCAACAAGCAAACCACTTTATTAGATTGTTCTTACTGGCTGTCACTCTTCCAATGTAACACTATCAATCCATGTTTCTCTATCTTAAACCGCTTACTCGTCTTTCTTTGGGCAGAGAAACTAAAAGTCCTCGCTCATTCCTATCGATTTTCATGTATTTAGGCTTCTTTGCTTTCTTTCGACATAAGCTTCAACATATTAGAGTTGTTATATATAGCTTTCGCAACCTCAACATTTTGACGCTCAGTCCCTTGTTCAACTGGACCAACAGGCCATAACATGCAACATGTGAGTCAGCCCAGTTGCCTCTAGAGTCTCAGAACCTGGTAAAGTTCGAGCAAAGTTCAGGCTGTGAAAGTAGCAACTCCTCAGCTGTGTGTAGCCCAGGTCACATCACATTTTTTGAGTATCAATCCGAAGAGATTATCTGTCAGCTGGATTGGAAATTAATGGACACACAGCTTTTCCCTTTTTTTTGGTAAAGTGATGAGGCGACAGAAGGCAAAAAAAAACAGAAGATATAGTAAATGTGGGGAGATTTTAGCTGGGTTTACCGCCGGATTTGATGAGCTCAAGAAAGTCGCTTTGGATAAATTTGCCACTGTTTTTGTAATACCAAATCCATGAAAGGGAGAGATAATGGCCAATCAGTCAGTGCTTTGAGTGATGTGTGACTATAAACTTCAAAGGGACTTACAAGCTTCATCCTTTCCTCGACTTCCCAAGACGTTCGGCTTGAATCTACCGACTGAGGCTTCCCCTTCCGGGACTTGGACCTCGGCGGATGGATCTGGATTCTCGAGAGCTTTCTTGGAAGCTTTCTCGCCGACGAGTTTATTAAGTTTCCTCTTTTGAGCCCCGCTGAGGGTAGTCAAGGCAGCCTTGACATCCTGGTCGTCGACGTTCTGCGCGGCCCTGATGGCGTTAAAAAGCTTGACGACACCGGTTTGGGCGAGTCGTCTCAGAGTTTTCTCTTGGCTTGCCCCGCCGACGTATGCGCCTTCATCCGACCATTTCCGGTCGCCCTGAACGAGCCACTCGGAGAACGGGACCGCCGGACGAGGAGTCCATCCGCCAATCACATCCTTGATGTGTCCACGTTCTTGGAGCTCATGTCGGGTAGCGGCCGATTGCTTGCGTTGGGATTCGGTTGCGGCTTGTTGTTTGGCAATCCGGTTGGCCTGTCGAGTCGCTGGATGGAGGGTCGTTGAGGGCCCGGTAGCATTCGACTTCTCCGAAGCTTCTAGGGCCTGCGAAAGCATCAATCCGAAACTCGTCGGTGATCTCGCCCTCCTCTTCCTTTCTGGGAAATCAAAAAACAAACAATTTTCACCCTGAACATTCGGATCAATTAATTCACAGTTCATGGTCATCAGAACTCGAGCGAAAGTCAAAGGATGCATACTCTGTGTCTTATCACTCCGTAGATGTCCATCCTCATCGTCGATCACTGCACCCAGATTTTCAGGAAAGCTCATGGCATTTGGTGCTACATGCGGTCGTCCGTTCTTGTCCAGGTTCAGGTTTTTGATATAATCGATCTCGTCTTCCGAATCATCGCCGTAGCTGCTTCCATCGGAGCCATTCCCACTTTCAGAACCGTCTTCCGAGCTCGGCTCTTCTGGAGGGTCGGGATTCGGAGCGCTAGACAGCTTCTTTCGCTTATGATCGTGGACTTCAGCTTGCTTCATGTTTATGGTCGGTGAGATCTGTGGTTGTATGAGAAGTCTCCTGAAACCCGTGCCACTTGCTTTTTGATTGTTTAGCATTTTGCATATTCAAATTGGTGATAAACCTCAAACCCCGTTCTGGGTGGACATGTCACGGGTTTATTCCCAAGTTGGCAATGGCGGTCCTTTCCCCTACACAATAGAAACAATGGGCACTTCTGCCTTCTGAGCTTGGTCCCCATAGTTGTACAGCCTACTGATGAGTCTATGAAAAAGATCCATTCAACTTATTCAGGAAAAGGGTTTCATAGCCATCTAGAGTCTCCAAAAGAATCTCCTCATCTTGATGGATGACACTGTGAAACCTGTGCCAGGACATACATTCTTAACCTATTGGCATTTAGGGGAAGTGCATCCACAAGTCATTGATTTAGATTAACATTCACGCCTGAATAAAGTTATACAAGAGAAACTTTGCCCGTGGGATGTGCCCTTAGACAGGTTTGATTGTAGTGAAATTCAGTTTGAACAACAGTGACAAGAGGTGATTTCGTCATGGAAAACAAAGCCATTATATATAAGGGGGTTTCAAAGTTGATTTCTGAACACCATTATGTAAAAAATTATAAGTTTCAGAGCATTTATGACAAATTTTCTAAACAAAGAGGAATTCAGAGTTTCTAGAAAACTGAATTTCCAAAACCCTTGAGCTGATGGTTTTATGTAGAATGCAGTTTAAAAAAAATCTAATTTGAATACCAAGATGGTCTAATTGGGGAATACCATTGTTACCCAGAGGCCTTTCAGGCCTTACTCAACTAAGCCTCCCAGGACTGGGGGTGCAGAGCACCCCAATGCAAAGCATCTCTCATTCCCAATGGGAGGCTTATGAGTTATTGTGGCTTTCCTGCTTGAGAGCTTCCAAAAATGTGTGGCTTTTGGAGAAAAATTTCAAATCAAGTCACATTATGAGATGCATACTCATCATGAGACAACAAGGTGAAGGGCAGTTTGTAGCTGAGCATCTCATGTTGAAATGTAGTATCACTTTCTCCCTACCTACACTTGGAGGAGGGTGCTGCCCTTGCCCAGAAGCTGAGGTGGATGGAAGATGAAATTCTGTATTGCAATTGAGTCTGCTCAGAATTTTTGGGAATTCACACACATCACTCTGGTTGAACACACAAAAAAAGGAAAACTTCAAAGGGGGAAGGGAGGACTCGGAGTGCTTGAAGGAGGAAAAATTGGTGATTGACACCAAAAAAAAAGAGAAAATTAAGGCCTTGAGTTTGACACCACAGGCTTCAAGAATTTGTGGGGAGAAAGCAACAGATCAGTGAGGGGAATTTTTCTCCCACCAAAAATGCCAAAGCTCCCAGGCCAAAAAACAGGTATCACCTGCACGTCCCTCCTTTGGAGGTTGCGCTTGGCACAAGGGCGCTTCACGCCAGCCCTCTGAAGCGAGGGACTTGTGTTAAGTCCGTTTCAGGATGATTTTAGCATACCAGTCCCAGGTTCAAATCCTACACTACAAAAAGGATTGAGCTGCATTAACTACAAATGCAAGGTCACATTGCATGTCAATGATGTGATGTCACCTTGCATTTGCAAAATGTGATGAAATTTTTAGCACTAAAAATTTGATTGCATTTTGAAAATGCAAGGTGACATTGCATGTGACATGTGATGTTACTGTTGAGTTTTCACCTCTTTTGCCTAATCTTCCCCAAAATCACTTTCTCTCTCTTCTTTTTTCTTTTCTCCTCACTTGAAATCAGACTGGATTAATATTGCCAAGTAGCCTGTTCTTAACTGTTTTCTGAGTACTTTCTGAGTCAAATGTGAACCTTAATAAACTCAACTCAATTGGTCTTGTCTCTAAGGTGATATGTTCTCCTTTTTCTGACTTATTGTGGGTTATTAAAAATTGGTTAACAAGAATTAACTCCTCTTGTTATTTGTGATTCAAAACATTTTTTTCTTGACTAACTCATCTGACATTACTAAAAGAGAATGAGAAGTTCTGTATAGTTTGTTACTTCCAAGTATTAGCATATTTAGTTGTTTTCCTCTCTCTATAAGCATATAGACAGACTCTCACTTTGTACGCAGCAATGCACAGTAGCTCAAACCTAGTTGATACTTTAAATAGCATTCCATATTACCACTTGTAATAGTTCCTCAATCTAAAGTATCAGTTCCATCTTGCTCCTGCTCATCGAACTGTGTACTTAGGTCCGTTTCTATCTTTTCCTCAAAATCTCTTCTCTCAGCTTCTGATTTCATTTCATTCTCTCTTTCTCTCAGGTTTGCCTATTGTGCTCGTCATCGCCGCTATCGCTTGCTTGTGACTAACACATATCAAACCATCAAAGGTGTGCTGAAATCCAATCTAAAGTATCAGTTCCATCTCGCTCCTGCTCATCAAACTGTGTCCTTAGGTTTGCCTATTGTGCTCGTCATCGCCGCTATCGCTTGCTTGTGACTAACACATATCAAACCATCAAAGTTTTGCCTATTGTGCTCGTCATCGCCGCTATTGCTTGCTTGTGACTAACACATATCAAACCATCAGACTTTTCGTCTTATAGGTTATGAGCCCAGTTGGCAGCTAAGCGCCCCTGGAAGAAAAACATCAAACACAAGCCCATCTTCGATCATCATCATCATGTCAACCACGACTACTCCTCGACTTCCTCTCCTCAAGGAAGAAAACTTCACCCACTGGAAGAAAAAGATTGAGGCATACTGCATGGAGAAAAACCTCGACGGCTATCTCTTGAAAGACAAAGCGGCAACGGCCAAGAACAATCAAAAAGAACTCTGGTCCAAGAGAAAAATTCAAACGGCCGGTATTCTCCTCAGCAATATCAGCGACAACAATGAAGCGCGATTCGTCACAGACAACAATCGAAGAGAACCTCACCTCCTATGGGAAGCTCTTCGCAAACATTTCGAGGCCAGCACACCCCAAAATCAAGCCAAAGTTTATCGTAAATTCTTGCAGGTAAACTTCAAAAACACACTCTCCGAATTCCTCGTTCAGATCGACAACAGAATAGCAAACATGGGATCTGTAGGTCTCAAAATCAGAGTTCCCAAACTCAAAGAACCCGACGTCAACGAAACCCTTCTTTCGGAGCAAATAGTCAACAAACTTCCCTCGTCCTATGACACCACCAAGGATCTCATTTTCTTAAAAAGACCACTTACTCTTCAAAAAGTGCGAGATCAACTTGGGGCCAAAAGTCTCGAGTCCGATGACCCACCAACCCCAACCATCAAAAGTGAATCAGCGATGAAAGCGACATTGACCAATTCAAACAACAACTACTGCGATAACGGGAAACGCGACATTCCGAATCAAGATGCTACCAACTTCACCCTGAATTGGCACCTCCGTCGTACCACTCCAACAAACCCAAGCGGACCGCCAAAGTGGCGACTTCCACCGATCATTGTCAAGACGAAGACAACGCAAGTGTCTCCAGTCACCGAGGCGTCTTCTACTGTGCCGGTAAAGCTTTCCTCTCTTTGCGAGAAGAACGAATCGGGCTCCTGCTCTTGGACAGCGGTTGCTCAGATCATATGTTCCCGGATCGGTCAAAATTCACCGACTACAAACCCATGAACTCGTCAGTTGAGATTGCTGATGGACAGAAATTATCCATAATAGGCTCAGGCTACGTCCGTCTTCGCAACTCAGCAGGCCAAGTACAATCGTACAAGGCACTGCATGTCCCGAATCTATCCCACCCCTTGATCAGCTTCGGACGGCTATTCCTCAAAGATTGCGACTTTGTCCGTGAAGGCACCGAATCTTTCTCTGTAACCAATGCAGCTACCAGCACAAAGCTGTTCAAAGGAGGAGTTCGGGGCAAAATTTTGGCAATCGAAGCCGACGTACTTGACGCTTCTTTCCAACATCCTCAAGGTCAGTCCATCGCTCTTGTCTCAAGTCACAGCAATCAAACTGACGCTGAACTCTTGCACAGGCGAGCTGGTCATCCAAGCGCGGAAGCGTTAAAATTGATGTACGGTGTCGACTTTTCCACATTATCATGTGACGCGTGTCGAATGTCCAAATCTCATCGACTCCCTTTCTCCGGTACTCTCCCCCCTCCCAAATCTCTTCTTGATTATATCTACATGGATTTAAGTGGAAAAATAACTCCTGCTACTCCCGGCAAAGGCCTATATTATCTTAAAATTACCGATGCTTTCTCCTCTTATAAATACATTTATATTCTCTCTGCAAAGTCTCAAGCGTTTGGAAAATTTCAGGAGTACTGCAATGAAGTCGAAACTTTTCATGATCTCAAAGTCAAAAACGTCGTCACTGACGGCGGTGGGGAGTTTTGCTCGCATGCTTTTGAGGAATTCCATAAGTCTAAAGGAATTCACCATCACATCACTGCGCCGTACACGCCCCAGCAGAATTCCATCGCGGAGAGAGGAAATTGCACAACCAGTGAAAAGGCTAGAGCAATGCTTAAACAAGCTTCTCTCCCTTCTTACCTTTGGGGTGAGGCTGTAACAACGGCAGTTCTCTATGAAAACATCACTCCCATGAGACGGCTGAAATGGGTCACTCCTCATGAAATCTGGTTCAACATCCCTTTCAACACCTCTCGTCTTAAACCCTTTGGGTGCCTGGCTTATATCAACATTCCAAAGGAAAAACGAGACAGAAAGTTTGGGGATACCGCAAAACGTGGTGTCTTACTTGGATATCGGCAGGGAATCCACAACTGGAGGATCTTACTTCCCGGGAATCGGGTAGAGTACAGTCATGATATCATTTTTGATGAATCATGCTTCCCAGGAATCTCCCCAATTCCCACTGCCAATGGATCACTTGCTCTCTTCAAGGAGGAGGAAATCCTGCCTACCCCTTCCCATTCAGCTGCCGACTCTAATCATCAGGGAGAAGTGCTGGAGGACTCGACGCCATCTCCGCAGCATGACGCTCTGGTCAATCTGGGGTGTCAACCCGGCGAGAGGCAAGACGCTCCGGTCGCTCTGCGACGTCAACCCAAAGACCACCCACTTCCACTCTCCCCTCCATCGCCTTTCATCAAGGCTCAGGCCTATGGACCAAGGGTTCCTCCGGGCATTTCCCAACCCATTTTCTCAAAGGACCATCCTCCCCAACCTGCGGGGGAGGCCCCGGCTCCGCAAAGGGGAACAACGACGGGAAACTCTCCCCTGCACAGCCAATCCCTCCTGTAGCAACCCTCCCGCTACAGCAGCTCCCCAATGATGCTGTGGCTGCGCAGAGGCCATCCAAACCTAACACCCCTGACCCATTGCCGGAATCCAACCCTAATCCCCCTGTTGACGAGGCGGCGGACGCAGCATTATCAAACGCGCGTCCGAAACCTAGCTTCATATATGTTCCCGCGGATCTATCATCCCGTAGGCAAAGAGCTAACGTAGCAGCCTCCATCCTTTCCACTCAACCCTTTTACAACTCTCTGTTTGCAATGGCGACCTCATCAATCAGCAACTCAATCCCAACTCCCCAGACGTTTTGTGCAGCCATGGATTCTCCCGAAGCCGACGACTGGCAAGCGGCGATCCAAGTAGAGCTAGAGGCCATGACACGACTGGGAGTGTGGGAAGCTGTCCCTACACCATCTGGACAACCTCTTCTCGGAACCGTGTGGGTCTTTCGCAAGAAATACGACGCGCACAGCAATCTTGTCAAATTCAAGGCTTGGCTCTGCGCCCAAGGGAGCGCCCAACAAGAAGGCATCGACTTCAACGAAACCTACGCACCGACGGGTCGTGCAGCAGCTCTTCGAACGGCGCTCACCATCGGTGTCAACGCAGGGATGAAGATCCATCAAATGGACGTGCGTAATGCATTTCTTAATGGAGACTTGGAAGAGGTAATCTATCTTCGCTGCCCCCCAGGGTTTGACGCTCCGCCAGGACACTGCCTGAAATTAAAGAAATCCATTTACGGTTTGAAGCAGGCTCCCAGAATTTGGTACTACGCTCTTCGCGACTTCTTCTCTTCCATCAACTTCTCTCCTTCGGAAGCCGATCCAGGCCTCTTCATCTCGAAAGCGCCTGGCTGGGAATGTCTAGTCCACGTCTACGTTGACGACATGGCAATCATCAGTCACGACGTCGATCGCTTCAAAAACCTGGTTTCCAAGTGTTTCCTCATGGACGACTTAGGCCCGGCGACATCCCTTCTTGGCATGAAGATCTCTGACCATAGCGGTTATCTCACCCTGTCCCAGGAACGCCACATTGACGAGCTCCTCAAGGAGTATAACCTGGAAGAGGGGCGAACAGTTTCAACTCCTATGGTCCCAAACACCAGGCTGATCTCGGCTACTCCAGAAGAGATCGACTCCTTTAATGCTCTTCACATCAACTACAGGCAAGCTATAGGCTCACTCAACTACATAGCGGTGGCCACCCGTCCGGAAATTGCTTTCACCGTGTCGCAACTATCCCAACACCTCGAGAACCCCGGTATCAAGCACTGGAGGGCTTTCATCCACCTTCTTCACTACCTCGCCAGAACCAGAAGCTTCTCCGTTCGTATTGGGGGTGGCGACGGTGTCTTCCGCATCTACACAGATGCTGATTGGGGAAACTGCGAAGAGACTCGACGCTCATACTCGGGGTACCTTGTCACCTACGGCGACTCCATCATTGCCTGGAAGTCAAAAAAGCAGGCATCTGTTTCTTTGTCAACGACCGAAGCGGAGTATCGTGCGCTGTACGACGGAGTTCAGGAAGCTATGTGGATCTCTCAACTCATGACATCCATAGATGGGAAATCTATAGCGCCAGTCAACATCTACACCAACAATCAGGCCGCTCTAGCACTATCCAAGAATCCTCTCGCCAATCATCGCACCAAGCACATCGACATAAAATATCACTTCATTTGCAATGCAGTTCAAGAAAAGCACGTCAATATTCACTACATCCAAACATCCGACATGCCTTCCGATGGACTCACCAAATCTCTCGCCAACCCAAAGCACATCACCTTTATCAACATGCTGAAGATGAAAATAACGGAAGCTCAAAGCTAGAAAAGGAGGGGGGGCATTAGCATATTTATTTGTTTTCCTCTCTCTATAAGCATATAGTTAGACTCTCACTTTGTACGCAGCAATGCAGAGTAGCTCAAACCTAGTTGATACTTTAAATAGTGTTCCATATTACCACTTGTAATAGTTCCTCAATCTAAAGTATCAGTTCCATCTCGCTCCTGCTCATCAAACTGTGTCCTTAGGTCCGTTTCTATCTTTTCCTCAAAATCTCTTCTCTCAGCTTCTGATTTCATTTCATTCTCTCTTTCTCTCAGGTTTGCCTATTGTGCTCGTCATCGCCGCTATCGCTTGCTTGTGACTAACACATATCAAACCATCAAAGGTGTGCTGAAATCCAATCTAAAGTATCAGTTCCATCTCGCTCCTGCTCATCAAACTGTGTCCTTAGGTTTGCCTATTGTGCTCGTCATCGCCGCTATCGCTTGCTTGTGACTAACACATATCAAACCATCAAAGTTTTGCCTATTGTGCTCGTCATCGCCGCTATTGCTTGCTTGTGACTAACACATATCAAACCATCAAAGACTTTTCGTCTTATACCAAGAACTTGCTTTGTTTTCTCTCAATTTTTATTCAAAATACTATCTTATTCATTCTTTCTCAAACCACATTTTGATCACTTGAATTTAGTCTACTTAAGCTAGCCTACCTACAGTGAATAAAAACCATTGGTTCTTTGCACTCTTTTTCCACAAGCCCTTCCCAAAAATAAGATCCTCTTTTTGGGCCCTTCACCTCTTACACACTTTGGTTTAAAAATTTCAACAGTTACCTTGCATTTGCAGAACACAGCCTAACACTTTTTGTAGTGCTGGTGGCCCCACCCCACCCCCCTTGGAAGTTACAATCCTCTGTCAAAAAATCTTAATACATTGTAAAGATATTAACCTTTTAATTAGGGGGTATCAAATATAGGAAATCCACCATTAGAAACCAGTCACTTTTTTAAAAATATTTTTTTGCATCAATGGGCCCCAAAAGGGGTTAAATGAAGAACCAACATGTTTAAAAAAGGGTGGATTTTTTCAAACCAGTCAATTAAATAATGGTGGATTTGGTTATATTTGATACCCCCTATTAACTGAAAAGGTTCTCTCACACACTGTAATTACAGCCTCATTGTGGGCTTGCATCATACTAGTATTACTTGCTGAACTTAAGACCACCGGCACAGGTTGGCGAAAAATGAAGGAAAGAACCAGTGGCTTTTGATTTCTTATAGCTAGCTATGTTTAAATAGACTGAATACAAGATGGTCAGAAAGTGGTTGTGTAGAAATGAATAAAAAACAGACTGAGAGGAACTTAAATTCAGTGTTGATGAAACATGAGAGAGACATTTTTTATTTATGATAACTCTACTTGATAAACAACAAAAGAAAACAAGAACCACATTTCTGATGAAGATGTCAGTTTCATCAGATCAATCTCAGCACCAAAACTTTAAGAATAATTAGAAGATAAGCATGGAGAAGAAAGAAATTAACAACTAGGGATTCAGAGTTCTTTGACTACAAGAATTTGATGTTTAATTTCATGACTTGCTACTAGACAGACTATATAATTATCAGTAGTTTAGTGTATTAATATGAGAAAGAGTTATTATAAAATTTGAGAAGTGAGAGAGATGAAGAAGGGAAGAGCTGAAATTCCAACATTACTATAGTGCACAATTTCAAATCAATCAGCACTCAAAAAACCCCTCAAGGAGCAAGATGATACATCAACCTTAATCTTAGATTGAAGATTGTGAGATGCAAATACATTGGATGAATCAGACCAGCAAACAAAGAACTAATCAAATATGAAACTGAAATCTGAGCAGCTCGATAATCAGAAATTAATGAGTACTATAGGGTGTCTTGAAACATCACATCCTCTCAATTGCTGGAAACTTCATCACTGGGTCAAAGCAACCAGAATCAATCAACCAATCATGATTGAGAGCTTTCAATTTTGCAAGCAATAACACTGTATATAATTGGTAGAATGTTTTCAAGCAATGATGATGGTATCTTGGGATGGTTTGGGATTGTGATATATAGGAAATCAGATTAGTTGTGATTTTTTTAATTGTTTATCTTGCTTTTCATCCTTTACCAAGATTCTATGTATAAATCCCTACTTTGATTCTGTAACATGTTGTGAGATTGTAAGCTCAGGGAGTCAGGTGATAAACCAAAATTGGGTCAGGTGCAGGCCTGAGTACAGCAGCAACAACAGCAATCTAAAAAATCAAACTAGGAAGATTCAATATGGGTAATAATTGTTTGAGTGACCAAACTCTTCAGTTCTTGTATTCTATCTTATCTGATGATCACCAGACATGCTATTAGTCTCTAACTAGCTGTTCCAATATGTCATTTGTTGCAGACAACAAAGACATAACTGAAAGAAATACCCAAAGTCAGTCAATAAGAATAGTCAGGGGAAAGTTCTCCAGAGACTAAAATTGAACTGTTCAATATAGAAACAAGATTCAGGATTATCTATTGACTCAAGGAGACATTTTTAGGAGAGACAACCTGTTACTAAAATAATTGACAGCCTGTCAATCTTAAAAAGTACGACAAGAAATTCATGGCTGTCAAGAGACAAAAAACCCAACATTAAGGCTGAGTCTCTTGTCGTGACTGTGCTATGTTTTGTACTTTTGATTTGTTTCACAAACTGGGAATTTCTAGATTTTTTTTTTTAGTGAATCCCAGGATCAAGTCCTCAAAACAAGCTACACACATACACAAATCTGCCCCACATTACACACACCCTTGTGTCACATCATGAGAGAGTGTAAGTTCCAATCAACTATAGTCTCTGAACAGTTTTTCTTTTCTTTTCTTTTTTTTTTGGAGTCCACTTTTTATAGTGAACATCCCCAGACCAGCATCACAGGGATTGTGAGTCAAGCTCAAAAACTCCCCCCCCCCCCCAAAAAAAAAAAAGAAAGAAAGAAAGGTTAGAAGTTGTGAATCCCAATGGTTGATTTAATTACATGACAAAACCAAAGAAGAAAAAAAATGCCATACTTCCATAACAACCCTTAATTACCCAATACAAAAAAAAAACCCAGTCCAAAAAAAAAAAATGAAGAGAGAGACAGGGAAAGGGGGGGATAAAAATGAGGAGGAGAAGATGACAGAACATGTACACACATACTTACATGTTGGCATGTATGCATATGTATATATATATCTATGATCTACACAAGGCTTATAATGGATTGATAGACTCCAAAAGAGACCTTTATGTAGATCAATCACACACTTGAGGAAATATATTTACATTTGTATATTGATTTCTTATTTCACAAACAATCAATCAATCAAACAAAACAAAACAAAAAAAAACAAGTATAAAAAAAGAAAAAAGAAAATCCTTCATCTTCATTTTTTTTTCTCTTCTCTCCCTTTTTTTCTCTGCCTCCTCCTTTGAAAATAAAACAAAAAAAACTTTTAAAAGAACTATAAAAAAAAGAAAGACAATGTAAATGTAAAATGTAAATAATAAGAGGAAAAATAAAATAAAATAAACCATGCTCTTTTAATGACTGTCAGTAATGAAATTGGAAGTTGAACTAGGATGTCTAGTAGTGCTAGTAGTAGTGGTAGCAGCAGCAGGAACAGCAGCAGAAGAAGAAGAGGAAGAGTGGTGGTTACCAACAGTCGAGTTAAACCTTTTGAAAGTAGTCAACAATTGAGCAAGTTTATTTTTACTTTCTTCCTTCTTATTATTGACAGGGGGGTTAGAGGTGATTGTGGTAGTAGTTTCAGTCTGACCAGAAGGATGATTAACAGGTGCTTTCTTCCGACTGATAGGAGCAGTTGGAAGAAGTGGTGTTGAAGGAATTGGAGCTGTAACGTTTGCGTTCGGAGTAGTTTTCTGAATCCGTTCACGACGGTGAGAAGCCGAGGTCCAATGGGTCGGCGGCTTGGAGAACGAGGAACAGTCGGAGCCTCCGCCCCAGCTAGTCGTACTACTGGTGCTCATGGTTGTCGCGATCCCACTACTGCTGGTCGTCGACATGGCTGCCCTAGAGAATACATTCCTCTGGCCGTGACGGTTGACATCTTGGAGTTGAGCGGGCGCACTGGCTGTATTCGAGGTGGCCTTGCCCATATAAGCTGCTTCTCGAGCTCGAGCTCGAGCCACAAAGGCTTGTAGATCTGGATTAGACCCGTCCCGAAACTTCTCCATCATTCGTTCCGCAATGTTCAATTTTCTTTTGGTGGTTGTCAACGAGGTTGCTCCCTCATCACTTGGCTTCATCGTCTTGGTGGCCTGACTAATTTCACGGGCCAAGCTCTGCGAGGCTTCAGCCAATCCATCCAGTATATCGACCTCCCCTTCTTGCTCGTTTGTTGACGATAGGTAACCCGCCTCGCTTCCGTTGCGCCTTCCTTCCGGTTTTCGTCCCTTTCGAGCGCCTCGCTTTCTACGCTTCGGATTATCTGATCCCACCTTACTTGCAGAAGTACATGATTCACTGTCTTCGCCAATCACATCAGCTGATTCCTTGACCGCACCTGGGTTCAAAACCATGTCGGTTAGGATCTCCGTTGGTTCGTCTGCAAAGTCTTTCAAATCCGATGATTTTTCAGGCCAAGGATTGAGCGGTTGCTTCTCAATTTGGCAAACCTCTTTCTCAATGACTACTGGTAATTCGGTGGGCGAGAGCTCAGGAGGTGATAAGACTTCAGGCACAGCAGGGGGGAGGTTGATGGGATGGAACAACTGAGATGAGCGTTTCGATAATCCTCCTAGTGACGACCCCCGAAGGCTGCGACGTTGATCTATGACACCTCGGGTATATGAAGGGGACATGGCGATCGTGGCGTCTGAAACTGATGCGTGGGATTGACCACCGCCCATGTGGTGGAGAAGGTTTTGAGCCCATTCACCAAACTTGCCCGCCGAAATCCTACGCTGGCTGCGACCAGCGCCAACTTCCACAAATACATTTTCAGCAAGAAACGTGGCAACACTTTGGGTCATTCCATCAAATCGACCTTGGAGGAAAGAAACAGGATCGTGACGGAACTCGCGAAAATCGGGGTCTGAGCAGCTAGGGTCCGCCCAGGGACAACGGTGATATAACAGATTGAGCAGAACGATTCCTAGCGACCAGACATCAGCCTGAATTGGTTCATAGGTCGGATTCAGGTTGTTCCGACATTCTGTTGAGGGAAATTGGATGAGTATTGCTCAATTGAATGTTTGTTTTTTGAAGAGATATTATTGACATGATATGCACTTACCGTAGGCCATGTAAGGTTTACTGCCACAATCGAAGTCCTCGCAAGCTTTCGAGCTGGTACCAAGGCCCCAGTCGGTGATTTTGACAGTGACAGAAGACCGAACGCCGATCTGATGTTCGGTGGATTGAGCCTTCCAGTTGTCGCCCAAAGTTCCCTTGCGATCGTCCACAACGATAAAGTTCTCGGGTTTGATGTCACGATGACAGACACCAGCTTGATGACAAGCCTCGACGGCCTCGCACATTTGCACAAACATTTTACTGATCAGCCGCAACCTCCTCCTTGAAAGCATCTCGTCGTCAGCAGTGCTAGCCAGTAATGAGGGGGAAGGTGGGGTATTGAGGGGGGGCGCTGTGACTTGAGCCGAGCCAACTTCCCGCGATTTGTCTTCAGTGGAATGTAAGTGAGGCTGGATGGAGCTCGGTAAGTGTGGAGCGCACGAGTTGGTGCGAGAAGATAGAGATTCGAGATCTTGACTGTCTCTAGCTTGCTCCAACCAATAGAACCTACAAAAGCAAACAAAGAGACGGGCATGAGTGGTGTAAAAATGGATGCGGGAAAATAAGCACATCCACTGACAAATCTTGACCTGGGCAATATTCAATCACAAGGAAGAGCCAGTTGGGCGTTTCCAGAGCCTGGAATGATGGAAGTGAATTAATTATAGGGAATGAGTATGGAGAGCAAAGTGCGAACACAGGAAGAAGAAAAAAAAAGAGAAAACAGACTGACCCTATGTAAAGCAACAATGTTATTATGTAAAGGTAAGGAACGATGTAACTCGGCTTCGCCACGTTGAAGGACCAACAACTCATCGCTCAAGTTTCGCTTGCAAAGACATTTGAGGGCGAAATCCCTCCCGTAAACCACTCCCTCAGATGAGCCTTTCGTGCGTGAAGATGCCAAGGGGTCAAGCTTTGACAATGAAGCAAAGCCATCGGATGCCTTGGGAGTTTGTGAGAGTGTACTATCGAGTGCGGTAGGTTCGGGTTCAAGAGCAGGATCATACAACACCTCCCGGACTAAGTAGACCACCGCACTGGAAATGAGACACGCCAACCGGAGGAGGGGGGATGAAAATTCAATGATGAGAGATCGTATTTCCTTGTTTACTCGTGAAGCAATGAGGCGAATGAACGACTTACTAACTGCCCACGCCGATCTGCCTGACAACTTCCAATATTCCCGACTCACCAGAGCTCTCGGTGCTAGCCTTACTGAGTCTACAGCCACTCCTCGAAGACGTGTCAAAGAGATCACGAACTCTGTAACCTTGGTGAAGAGTGCCCACGCCGACGCGATCACCGACTTTGAACAACTTGCGAGCCCCAGTAGCTTCATGATCTCTTTCTGAGTCGGCGTCATCCTCATCATCACTCCAACGAGGTTGACGAAAGGTTTCCTCGGCAAAGTCTTCAGATAGATCGAGTTCAAACATTTCATTGGCCAGCTCGTCCTTTGACTTATCTGGAACCGAGTGAATCAGACTGCCACGTCTCGAGTGACCCCTTAGACTAGGACTTCGAACCCGCTCGTAATGCTGTAAACCATCTTCGAACATGCACAAGTTGGAGAGTCCGCGGGCGCTAGTAGGGGTAAAGAAGCGACGTGAGACTTGGGGCGAGGTGGGGCTGGATGAGCTACCTGGCACTCCAGTGGCCAGGTTGGCTCGACGGGCTGCGAACGAGGTCTTGCGACTGTGTATGGGATCGGGACTGGCCGGTCGAGTGCGAGGCATGCTCATGATACTCGGCAGGCTGGGTTCGCGGCTGATGAAACCCGATCCAGCGCGTCGATCAGCTTGAGCCAGTTCGTAGAGGTAGGGCGGACAAGCACCGGGGGATGCTAGAGGATGAGAGGGACGGGGAGACAATGGGGCATGAGCAGGAAGGAGAGTGGTATTGAGGGGTGATAGGACCAGGGGTGAGGGTGGAGAGGAGGGGCGAGGGGATAAGAGGGAATTGGGACGAGCAAGCTGAGGACGTTGGATCGAGGAATTGTGTTGTTGTTGTTGTTGTTGTTGATGTTGTTGTTGCTGTTGCTGATGTTGTTGTTGTTGATGCTGTATGGGCAGATGGGAATAAGGTGGAGGAAGGAGGGTGGGTGAGAGGGGGAATGTGACATGCGCAGATGAGGGTTGTGACATCTTCGGGGAGGGTACCGAGCTCGGGGTTGGCGAGGGCTGTAGGGATCGGAGAGCGAGAACCTTGCTCTTGGGGTTGCTGGGATTTGAAGCGGCGGATGGGGACGAAGGGGCTGGTGAGGCTGGTTGGAAGATCTGGGCGATCGTAGCAGCAGACATGATTGATGGACGACGGTCAGGAGGAGCTTGGATAATTTCAGCAGACTTGAAACTTGAAGCAGGTCTTGGCGAGGAAAGATAAGACTAAAACAAAAGCAAAAAAAAAAAAAAAAAAAAAACTATGAGAAGCTGAGCGAAGACTGAGCAGAGCAGGCTGGTTAGAAAAATACAAGGCAGAGTTGTTTATCTGGGGATGTTGGAAATGCTCGCGAAGGAGAAATGAAGAGGTTTTCGATCAGAATGAATGGATGGATTGGTTTTTTTTTTCTTTTCTTTTTTTCTTTTTTAGGTATTGTAATATACGGGGGATGAAAGGTGAGGGGTGAGTGTGTGTGTGTGTGTGTGGAGTATAGTGGTGGTGATAGCGGAAGTGGTGATCAAGGAAGGCTAGGATGATGTGACGAGAAAACTTGAGAAGGGTTCAACCCGATGGAGGAGTGAGTGAGGGACAGCCAGTGAATCAATCGAGATCGAGGTTGAGGAGTTGAGGGCTGAGGGTGAGGCTGAGTGAGTAGCGAGTGACTTGAGAGGAAGGCTGAAGCGAGTGACTGAGAGTGAGTTGAGCCTGTTGTGGGGGAGTTGGGATTCATCAGAGTCCCAAGGGAGGATGACTCGAATGGGGTCTTGGGTTGGCTGGTTGTTCGTTGGTGCTTTCTGAGAAGACAAAAGGAAAATGATATAGAGCGAGTCAGGACGACTGGAGACACTTCCCAGAGTGCGAAAAGAGATGGTCAACAAGAAGAAAAAAAAAAGAAGAAAGAAGGTGGATGAGTTACAGTCTGGAGCTTTGTTCAGATGGAGAGCATTTGGGAGTGTGATGATGAAATCAAAAGGGGAAGATGATGCTTTTGGCTGTCTGGATGAGGAAGTGTTTAGCTTTGTTTACAGTTTGACAGCTGCTGAGTGAGTTTTCGTTTTAGACAGTTCGACTTCGAGGCAGAGCACCGGGCAGCATAAATTATGACAAGTTGATCAGTTTGACTGAGTCTTTTGGGATGTGGTGATCGGGAAAACAAGAGAGATAGATGGTTTTGTTTTAGGTTCTGGATGGTTGGTGTTGGATAAGGAGAAGGCCTTCTCACTGACTCCAAGTCGATCGA